GTCTGGCTCCATCATACCTCTCTGAGCTTCTCCACCCCTACACCCCAGCTCGGTGCCTCAGGTCAGCTGATCAGCTGCTCCTGGAGGTACCGAGGTCCAAACGGAAGCTCAGAGGGGATAGATCTTTTTCTGTTGCTGCCCCAATTTTATGGAACGAGCTACCCCTCCAAAGTAGACAAGCCCCCACACTGTCCATTTTTAAAACTCGTCTTAAAACCCATTTTTATTCATTGGCTTTTAACCCTCCATGAGACTCGGCTCCTGTTTTAGTGTTCTATGGTTTGTTTTTAGTTATTTGTTTCTATGTTTTTAAATTAGTTTTTAAAAACATTGAAGCTATATTTTACTTTTAATTCTGCTTTTATTTTATCCATTGTTTTAATTGTTTCTTGATTGTTTTTTATCTTGTTGTTTTTGTCCTGTTATGTACAGCACTTTGTACAGCTGTGGTTGTTTTAAAGTGCTCTACAAATAAAGTTGAGTTGAGTTGAGTTGAGATGTCATGACTACAAAGCTGTGTAAAAAGTAACACCCAAGCTGAGCCTGATGCTAATTTACAGGTTTTCCTCTTATAATGAAAGTTGGAAATAAAAACATGAGCTCTTAAAGAGATATTACGGCGTAAAATTAAGTTAGGGTCAAACACACCGTTATCATGATCATTACTTTATCATCGGTCTGATTGCATTTCCATGAAGAAATGATCATAAATGTTCTTCCTTGAGCTGCGAAACTCCGCTGTAGTCGATGGACTGGCCTGAGGTCTCCATACAAACAAGCGGCTGCTGGAAGAGAGTAGGTGCTGTTCTTAGAGTTATTTGTGGCTATAGAGTGGCGTTTTGGTTGAGGTTTGTTTATGGCTCCTCAGACCGCTGTGTATTGCTATCATGTTGTCGTTACTAAAGTTGGTGTAACTCGAGAAGCATTCATCTTTTAACGGGGTGTCTAACTCGGTGTTAAAGATTGTTGAGTTTGTGTTTGCTTGAAAGAAAAACAGTTGCCCGGGGGAGCAGGATGTTTTGATGATACTGGACCACCTTTGGTTAAGTCGACCCTGATGTTGGACGCAGCGATTGGCTTTATGGATGTAAGTGTCAGACTCACTTTTGCACAGGTAGGTCCCATCTTAGATAATAGTTCAAAGCTCATGCTTATCATTTGCAGTTTTTGCCACTTTTGGCGTTCCTTAATTGAGCTGTATCCATGTCGTACTTAAATAAGCTTCAATTACTTCTCTGTAACTAATTGATCTCGCCTGAAACAACGGCAGCAGTGGAGAAGTCCCAGCAGGACGCGGGCCTCCCCCTCTAGGAAACCAAACGCAAACTCTGCTGCTAATTGAAATTATTTCGATTAATATAAGCTAATGGAGGCTAACTGTGCGGCATCGCAGTGGGTCATGCAGTCGGAGAGCATCCCCGCTCTCTCTGTCTTCTTTTTCGAACGCTGCACCTCAGTGTTTTGACAATCCGGCCCTCCTCAATACACAAAGCAACAATTCATCCTGCGGAGAAGAAGGAATAAAAAAAAAAAAAAAGGGAAGGAGCTCGGAGCGGGGCCGATCGATAAACAGAGTCGGAGCTGTGATTTATTTACCGCTGTGTGTTATGTAGAGAGCGAGAGCGAGGGGAGAAGAAAAAGGCTTCTGATATGGCCACAGGCAGCCGACATAATGGGGCCCTCTCAATCTTCAGTGAGTGGCTTGTTGGATTGTCAGGCAGGTTTTCTGCCGCTGTTCAAAAGCGATCAAACCCCCGAGACGCGGGCGACCAGACAGATGATTACTCACTGTAAACGATCCAGGAGGAGTGGAGGGGAAAAAAAGAGAGGAATAACTACAGCGGATATTGATGACTCAATAGACTCGGTGACAGACGATTCCATTTGTGTCGAGATAAAGTGTTGACCGTCTCGGATCAATCATAATAGGGGGGCCTCTTATTGAGCATAAAAACCATGTTTAATGTCATTAAATCCAGATCAGGCGCCCTTTTTTTTTTTTCTTTGGAAGCACGCACATATCTGAGCTCGTACAGTAGAAGAAGAGAAGAAGAAGATGAAGAAAGAGGAGAAGAAGAGGGGGGATGGGGGAGGTGTGTTGTTTGGGAGGAGGAGGAGGAGGAGGAGGAGGAGGAAAGGCATGGGTGAACAAGGGGGAAGGAAAAAAAAAAGGAAACCTCGGAGGCAATCATTTCTGGCAGAGCGGTGACAGTCAGTTCTCTGTGTGCGTTTGTGTGTGTGTGTGTTTTGTTTCGTAATTTCAGACGCCGCAGACGTGGCCGACACTCAGCGAGGGCCAATAACAGTTTGCAGACTGCTGATGTCATCACATTTTGACAAACTTCTCAATCTGGAGTGACCTTCGAGCCGCCTCACACACGCACACACACACACTTCACCTCTCTCTCTCTCTGCATCAAATCTCCCTCATCTCGGAGTAGAAGGAGTGTGTGGTTGATTATGGGAATTCCCTCTGACAGGAATAAATACGTGTTTATACAGTAATGAGAAATATCAGCGAAGGCCTGACAGAAGTGACGGCGCGCAGATAAGGTCGAGGTTTCCGCCTAAAGGAAGTTATTTTGTTTGTTTTTTTATTGTTGGATTTTAAGAGGAAAATTTATTTTGCAGCATAGTGAAGAAAAAAACTATTTTAATATGATGATTAAAGGCAGGGTTGGTAATTATTATGAACCTCGTTTCTATGGCGATCATGGTCTGACAGTGCGATCTCCACAAAGTGACGAGAAAAAAGAACGGAAAAAATCCATTCACTCTAGCAAGTGCAGGGCTGCAAAAACACTGACCAATGGGAGACATCCATCCCGGATGTCGCCTCCTTCACCTCTGATTGGCTGGAAAAGCTGGAAACGTCATCACATGCTTAAGCTACACCAAACAGAACATTAAAGAACATTATCTCACTTCTGAATCTCCTAACCCAACAGATGATGATGTTTCACAGCCAAAAGGAATAACCAATCAGAGCCCAGCACTTCGAGCCAATTAGAGGCGAAGGAGGGCGGGACCTTTCCCTACCATCCTACAAAAAAAAAATAGCGTCCCGGACAGCTCCCATTGGTCAATCTCCTGCTCCACCTCTCCATCCAATCACCTCGCTGTATTCGACAAACCCCTCTCCCGAAGGAAAAAAAAAAACACTTCTGTTTGCCGACAAAGGAAAGGGCGGAGTCGAAGAGGAAATGTGACCAAGCGAGGAATCTATTTTGAATAAACATCGGGGGGAAAGCTCCAAGTTACATAAATGACTCTTATTAGTCTCTGCAATGTCAACACGGTAGCTGTCCAGGCAGCTGCAGACGGTGCTTACAAGCAGAGCTGGCGAGGGGGTGTGTCGTGGGGAGAGCGATACAGGTTTAGGGGGTTATCGTGGAGCACAGAGAGGAGGGGTTTGTGTGTGGGGGGTGGGATGCTTTTTTCAAATCTGCCTCAATGGCTCTGTTCTTTTTCAACTGCTTCTCAGATCGTCAACCATGACTTTAAATAAAGTTCCGTACTGGAGCTTGAAGAGAGAAATTTATTTAAAATACACAATACATTGCCATAATACATCTCATATGAATCAGATCAAATCAGCAAAGATACAAGGGGTCTCACTTTGTCAACAGGGGGCGCCGAAAGGAACAACAGAGACAGATTTCAGGCTCTAGTTTTGATGCAATAAAGTCTAAATTTAGCACTTTTTAAAATCATAATAATAATAATTAATTTCATTTATAACCCGCTTTTCCAGGCGCTCAAAGACGCTTTACAAAGAAAAAAAAACACAATTTAAGAAATAAAACCAACGATGTAAAAGGTTAAAAAAAGACACAATATGAAAAGACAATAAAAGAGTTCACAGGTTAAAAACCAGTTTAAAAAAGGTGTGTTTTTAGGAGTGACTTGAAAGTATGGGGGTCTGTACAGTCTCAGATGGGTTTGGGCATGTGGTATTTTGTCCCTTTCAGCTCCCTGTAGTTCAGCTTCCACAGAGTTTTCCTGACTCCTTCTGCAGCTGATGAAAATAATGACACTACTGTGCGTTTAAAGGGAACAAAGCCGTGATCCTGGACTACTTTGAGTGGACTTGTTAGATCTGGATTACCCCAGAGAGACTTTTTCAAATGTGGTTTTAGATTGAAGCTCCTGATGTCGCATTAACCAGTGATCCCTGAACAGCCTACCCCAGTTTATCTGCACATCTGAGCACACTGACTGGATATTTTTGCACTTTTTCTATATCAAAATGTTCAGCAGTGTCATCTTTTGAACAAATACTGAACTATGAACACATGAGGAAAATACAGTCACCTACCTCAAGCTTCAGGATCATGGAGAACCTCTGTGATCACATGATTAATCCCAGGTGTGCTTGCAGGTGAACACATGAAGGTTCTTTCTTCTTCTCATGATTCATTTTACACCAAAAAACAACAACTTTCTGGAGTCAATTATGTAAAGTTTGGGTCTGCCATGTTTGTTGGTGTGCTACTGGTGTGTTTCCCACAATGCACTGGCATGAGAAAATGGAGGGAGGGAAAGTGGGCGGGGCTTGGGAACAGCTGTAGAGTGACCTTTCAAACAAAAAACAGAGAGAGGTTCATGAAATTGAAAAGTGAAAAGGTTAATGTGATTTTAAAGCTTGTTTTGAACCACTGGAGATAGTTTGATCATCTTCAGTTAGAAGTTTGTGGTTAAAAATGTTGAGAATTATTGTTTAAAAAGATAAATATTCAAACATTTTCCTGTCATTTTAAGCAGAATTTGAAGTATTTTTAACGTTTAACTTGTGCTTTATTTTGAAATCTCTCTCATAGTTTGATCATCTTTAGTTCGAAGTTTGTGGTTAAAAATGTTGAGAATTATTGTTTAAAAAGAACAAATCAAAACATTTTCCTGTCATTTTAAGTAAAATTTGCAGGATTTTTTACTTTTATTTTGAAATCTCTCTCATAGTTTGATTTAGTTTTTTAATGACGTGGTCTTTTTCCAAACGTTTAGGCTCCACCCACCTGAGTGCAGCAGGTGATGATGAGATAAACCTGTGGAGAAACCCACGGTTGACACTCACCCCATCAGTCAGGGCCCTGTCCTCTCCAACCCCAACCCACCTCCTCCTCCTCCTCCGTCTACCACCAGGTCCCCCCCACCCTTCTCCGCATCCTCCCCCATCGCCGGAGGCCTTCACCCCGGGGCCCACCTGACTGACAGCTGTTGATTTGGATCTCTCCATCACACGCCAAGATAAAAACGAGGGAGGGGAGGGGATTCGGGACTCATTCCTGCTTCGTTTCTGCCTCCAATCCTGCTGCAAACGCAATTCCCGGGTACAGGACTTTCTGTGGAGGCCTCCTAATGAAGTCATTCCCTCTGCACATGATTGGGCGAGATTGCCACCATACTCCGCCACCACCGCCACCATCCTTACCTCCCCCATCCCCCATCTTTACCGAGTGTACTCATGTGGAAACAGCAAGTGGTTGTATGCATTTTTCTGTGTGCATCCATCCCTTTCCTGCATGTGTGTGTGTTTTTATACATCTGCGATACATGTGTGTGTGTGTGTGTGTGCATGTGTGTGTGTTCGCGTAGGTGTGTGTTCTTAACTAAGCTAACACAGCCTGACTGGCTACTAATTGGATGTCTCCATTTTTCCCCAGTTTAACACCATGTAGTGAGAGAAAATCACACAGAAAGAGAGGAGAAAACGGAGGGATTTTCCTCCAAGTGAAGAAGAATAAGAGATGGAGATGTTGGTGCAGGATACGCAGGTGTAAAATCAATCAAAAAAAGCAGGATTTGAGTTTTTTCAGCCTGTCAATCACTGTCAAAAAAGAGGAAATGCTTTGATGAGAAGTGATCAGAGAAAAAAAGGTAGACAGCTAATGAATTTATCAGAAAAAAACGGATGAAAGAATCTTAACGGAGGTCTCTTAATGCACATCACAGTCCCTGATAGTTCACTCAGCGACACCTCCTCAGCAGGAATCCTCCCGAGACAACCTCGCCGCCTGTCAGTCGGTCGGTCTGCCACTCACCGCTAACACGACAGCCCGTCCCCGAGTGCCTGTGAATGTGACAACACACAAACCACAAAAAAAAGGAAAAAAAAAAACACACACACACACACAGAGCAAGAGTGTTTCTGAAGGTACCCTCCTGTGACGCCGGGGAAGCTTGTTTTAAGTTTTTCTCGCTGAGGGGAGGTGGGCGACATGAGAGTGGATGAGTCACGTCTGCGCTCTGTTAGTGAGGAGGCCGGGATCAGATTTTTCTGCGCCTTTAAATCTCCATGAAAAATCTGAAATAGTGAGAGATGCCTTTTGGATATCCTGGACAGGGATGAATGAATAAAGGAGGGAGAATATTTGTTGAGTTTAGTTTCAAATTACAACCCTGTATTCCCAACTCCTGGACAGCTGTGTAAAAGTTTTTGATTTTGGTTCGCAAGTCATTTAAGAGTGCTAAGACGACATGACGAATGCTGAAAAACAAAAGACCGGGACATCAAAACTCTAAAAAAACATTAAAAGGAACATCTCCAACTAAAGTTATTCATTTGCAACAGGTTGGAAACACGACTGGGTGTCAAAAAGGGAACTCCAGAGAGGCTTGAGGTAGTCTAGCGATTCCAAGATAAACTAAATTGAGGACTTGGTCATATATGCTAGATAACTTCACTAAAGGTCCTTACACACCGGGAGTGTTTTTTACATGCGATTGTTTCAGACGTCAATTTTCTTCCGAACCCGTATCCTGTCATTCCAAGCGTTCACATCAGCAACGTTTTCCCGTCCTGCGATATTGCGGCATTTATTTTTTCAAATCACGGTCAATTTTTCCTGAAGTTTCGCATACTGTGTGTCCAATTCTTACCAATCAGATTTCGTGTTTTTGCGACGTCAGATTCACCGGTAAATCCAACATGGCCGACCGGCGGATAGTTTACGTGTTGGAGAACAGAGTGCATTTTGGTAAAAGACACAAACATTACAAAGATAACGACCTGAAGGACGACTTGTGGAGAGTCATGGTGTCGGATTTCTCATATGATGGTGGTTTGTGTGATTTAACAGTTTGATAAACGTCTTTGTTTTAACTTTCATTTGTGCTAAGTAACACCCATAGGCTGTATCAAGTGTCAATCATAGAAAACATAAACCCCCTAATAGCTTTTTAATTTCTAAAGTTTGTCCACAGCTCCATAAGCTTTGCTGGCGGATGCAGGATTTATGACCTATACTGCAGCCCGTCAACAGAGGGTGCTGTTCTCGGAGTGGCTTCACTCATCAAGGAGGCAGACGGCGTCCATTCTGTATAAAGTCTATGTTCTGCACCTGTAGTTTCAAACGATACACAAACATGACCCAGGGATGACCTCTTTGGGTCCAGGCTCAGGTGGACTGAGGCAAAGTGGAAACATCTGGGTACAAGAAGGTACAAAATATATACATTTATTGCATGTTTTACAACAGCTTGGCTCTGTAGTAGAAGAGTCTGGGTGCTAAACTGTCCTATCTATCTACCACCTTTAATTTGCAAACCATGAAATTCCGCTTTGATCAATATTTCACACGGCGTCCATCTCTCATGGAGTTGGAGTTGCACATTATTAGATATTATTTCTGACCAAATCAAAGCTGAATCTCCATTAAGTGTCAATTAATTGGCTTCTAACATGGAATTTGCATGACAAAAAAACTGCATTGCCTTATCAATATGCCAACATCATGCATTATTAAAGACGCCACGCCATTAGCATAATAATATATTAGCATAATCAAGCTGCAGAATTTGCATGGGAGCTGTTCTTGTAAACCACACAGGATCTCCATGCATCAGCGAAAGGTGAAGTCGTTCTCCGTGACATCTTCATCTCCAGCCGCTGCACCGCTTTGTGAAATCTGGGTTTAAGTTTCCTTCTTTCATTATTTCGTTTCAATGGATTCAACGGCGAGTCTGAATCCGGGGAGTCTCCTCATCTGAGTTCTCATTCCTGCGCTTTTGTTGCTTGACTTCCTGTTTGAAAGAAGATTTCTTAAGTTACAGCGCGGGGTTGGAAAAGGGCGCCTGAGAGGACTTGATTGAACAGCACTACAACAGATTCAGTGACACTCATGTACTCCAAATTTACCTTTATAGATTTCATGACTGTCTACATCCAAGAGTTAGATTTAACAGTAAAATACCGTCAAAATCACATTATGACATAATATGAAAAATAAGTATTACAACTGCTATATAAAAAGGCACTACAACAGCTTCGGTGCTAAGCTTGTACTCCTGTCTACGTCTAAGGGTAAGATTTAGCGGAAAAATACTGTCAAAATTACAGCTATAAGATAATATTTAAAAATGAGTATAACAGCTGCTATCTTTTTAAAAATGAAAAAAAAAAAAAGCACTACAACAGCCTTAGTGATACTTTTGTAGTCCAGCTTTATATTTAAGATTTTATGACTGTCTACATCCAAGAGTTAAATTTAACAGTAAAATACAGTCAAAATCACAGTTCTGGCATTATACTTAAAAATTAATATAATCTTTTGAAAAATGATAAATAAGCACTACAACAGTTTTAGTGCTACTTTTGTACTCCAGCTTTATCTTTAAGTTGTTATCACTGTCTATGTCTGAGAGTTAGATTTAACAGTAAAATACCGTCAAACTTACAGTTATAGCATAAAACTTGAAGATAATAATGACAGCTGGTATTGTTTAAAAATTGATAAATAAGCACAACAACAGCTTCAGTGCTACTTTTGTACTCCAGCTTTATCTCTGTTATTCTTACTGTCTAAAAGGTAGATTTAACAGTAAAATACCGTCAAAATCACAATTATGGCATAATACTTAAAAATGAGGATAACGGCTGCAATCTTTTAAAAAATAATAAATAGGCACTACAACAGCTTTAGTGGTACTCATGTACCCCAACTTTGCCTTAAGGATTTTATGACTGTCTATGTCTAAGAGTTACAATTAGCAGTAAAATACTGTCAAAATCACAGTTATGGCATTATATTTAAAAATGAGTATAACAGCTGACTATCTTTTTGAAAATAATAAATAAGCACAATAACAGCTTCAGTGCTACTTTTGTACTCCAGCTTTATCTTTAAGATTTTATCACTCTTTTTGTCTAAAAGCTAGATTTAACAGTAAAATACCGTCAAACTTACAGTTATGGCATAAAACTTGAAAATGAGCCTCACAGCTGATATCTTTTTAAAGAATAATAAATAAGCACAACAACAGCTAGGATGCTTCTTTTGCACTCCAGGTTTATCTTTTAGTTAGTACTATCTACTTTTCAGAGTTGGATTTAACAGTAAAATGCTGTCAAAATCACATTCATGACAAAATATGAATAATGAGTATAACACCTGCTATCTTTTAAAAATGATAAATGAGCACTACAACAACCTTAGTGATACTTCTGTACTCCAGCTTTATCTTTAAGATTTTATTACTGTCTACGTCTAAGGGTAAGATTTAGCAGTAAAATACTGTCAAAATCACATTCATGACATAAAACCCAAAAATGAGTATAACACCTGCTATATTTTAAATAATAATAAATAGGACATAAGTTTAACACTCTTGTGCTCAATTTAGTGTTGCTCTACTGAAGCTAATGATGGCGGCCATTGTTGGTGTTTTGACAGTTTTTGTCCATAATTTAAAGTTTAATCTTATTGGTATCTATAGATGCGGTTACAGAGCTATGGACAGTTTCTTTTTTTTTTTTGCACAGCTTTGGCCTGTTTTCCACACTGGTGGACAAATGTCATCAACATGTATTGGAAAATAGAGAATATGATTAATTTCAGTTGTGTGTAGGAATGCACAATGGGGTTTTTATCATTAAAATCAAGTAGGTTTGGGTTTTCAAGTTATATTCAAAGTGAAGCAGTGTGCCCCTGATAAAACAAAGCAAAGGCACTTAGCATGTGTTCTCCTAGTTAAGATTCCCTCTCAGCAGTACTACAATGTTTCTGAGTGTCTGCTGGAAAACAAGTGGAAGGTCAAGAACGCGAACAATAGATGTTGATTCCAATTATGTGTAAAGCATTGAACAAGATGCGCTAATGATGGCGTTGTCGGGAGAAAAAAGGTGTTTATGTGCTACTCTCCCAAAGCCTGTGGAACGGTTTATTAGGCAAAGGCTTTATTTCCATAAAGGCTGATAAGACTTCAAATGATTCAGTGAAAAACAGTCCTGGCATCGGCGCAGCAAAGCGGCGTGTGTATTTATCTCTCCCGACGCTGGGAGACAATCAAGACAAAGATGATAGCACGTTTTTGAAATGCAGCACAGAGGCATAATGAGATTGCAGCTACTTCAGGAACAAAACCAGACAAAATGCTTTTTTTTTTCATAAATGGCTCCTTGTTTTATTCACTCACACCACAAAAAAAAAAAAGGCCATCGTTTTCAATTAATGAAGCAGGGAATTGAGTCCGAGGTCCGGCGGGATATGGATTAACCGTGATGGCTTCAGGGCCCAATCACACACTGAGTCTGCGCCGCGGTCTGCATGGAGGAATTTCTCATTCAAGGCCTCCTCCAACACCACCTCCTACCCCCAACTCATCCGCCCATTCCTCATCCTAAGGTGAGTTGCTTCAGTGCAGACCGCTATTAGTGGCGGGGGGAGATAAAACTGTAAGTGTTGCTCCCAATTAGTGCATCAGTGACCGCTCTGTGCCTCCTCCACGGCAAGGCCTGAGAGAAGGAAGGGAGGGAGGAAGGGAAGGAGGGGGCTGCAGGGAGTGAGAGATTGGAGGAGGGATGACAGGAAAGGAGAGAAGGCGAGGAGTCTAAGTAAAGGAGTGGGTTTTAGAGGTAGATAAAGAGAGGACAAGAGATGAAAAGTGGCGAAAAAAATGGCTTAAGCGTTCATTTTGAGTGGCGGGACAGCTCCTATTAACATTTAACAGCGTTTGCGCAACTTGGTGTGGAGGTTAGGATGCAAATGAGGAGGAATTAAAACTGGCCAGAGGTTTGTCATTGATGGATTGCAGTCTGGCGCTACTCACCACTTCCTAGTGTCCATCACAGACGATTACTGTATAATTAAACCTTATTTCTGGACTCTGCGACGCATAATTACTTGTGTGGGAATGTAACCATCATCTAAAAGCTCCAGCAAAATGCTTTAGCATTTAGTCTGGCAGGCTGCAGTCATTTCACAGAGCAGTGACAGATAGAGCCATCTGATGATGGGCAAAAGAACAGTCACTTTTAATAAGAGGTGTGGGGGGGGAATATTAGGCGACAGTGTGCTGATTATAGGAAAATTAGGCTTTCAAGTGGTAAAGTCCTTTGTGTTATTTGCATAATTTATTCCTTCTTTACCCCCCTACTTCTTCAACCACCTCTGGTTTTTCTTTTTTTATATATTTTGCGAGCTGTGGGCAATTTCCTCTCGTATTTGAATGGATTGCACATTTAAGACTACTTAAGGAAAATGATCACTTAGCATATTTTAATTGTCGTGCAAAGTGTGAGCAGAGGTGTGGGGCGAAAGCTTATGGGAGGAGGAGCCTTTAATGTGAAGGGGACACGGCGGTGGCGTCGCTGATAACCCCGGGGTTCACACACACGCGGGCTGACCTCGCCGCACACGCTCCGGTCTTTAAAGAAAGGGTGTAAAACTCGGATTCCCATGAACGTCGGCTTATTACAAATGATTTATGATAGGAGCGTGTTTTTAAAAAGGCAGATATTTACGTTTTTAGCTTTGGCGATGTACAAACAAGCAAAAAAAAAAGGTCAGACAATTCAACATCAAATCTTGTTTCCTTGAAAATCTGCATATAAAACCACATTTATATTAACAAAGACGTGTCACTGTTTCTAAGTAATGTCTGTAGACCACATTCAGAGTCAAGCTATTTACAAACCAACCAGCCACCAGGGTATTTATGAAGCACAGAGCTAAACATACAGGAAGGGTACATCATTAAATCTGGTTTCCTGGCTCTTTCACACGCATGACATGGTGAATTCAGATTAACAAGCATGTGTCTCCTACTGTTTTTTTATCATGTTTCAAGATGCTCCAACGCCCCTGAAAGTCTGGAGTTTCCATTAATTCAAAAATTCATCAACACAAATTACACTTGGAGTATATCGAGTAAAACAAGTTGTTGATATAAACCCTCGTGCATCTCTATTTGTGTGGTTAGTTAAAGGCCCTACTTACTTAAAGCACCTGTAAGGATATTTTTATATTAATGAAACTGATTGAAACTCATACTGATGTCTTTTTGTGGTCGACAAAAGCAAACAAGACCGTCAGAAATAAGATGAGTGATCATTTTTGATGTGAGGAGGTAGGTGTCAGAGCTGTCCCCCCGAAATGGATCCCTAACCACTATATAGGCGACTATATGGGGGTTAGCGCCATTTTGAGGGGTGTCCGAAACCTGAGTGATCAATTCCAATGCCCCATATAGGCGACTCAAAATTTCCCATAGAGCATTGCAAAATGTAGTGATCATCCGATGGTGGGCATCCCGTCATGCTGTCAAAGATAGAGGAGCTACTGGCCAGGAGATGGCGTAGTCTGACGAAGAAGACCACGTAATATGCTGATGATTTTTTTCCCCATTGTTTAGCCTCTCACTTACAATTCCACGACATCTTACTCGCGTTGCAGGAATGTCACGACGCAGTCTCCTCTGGCGTATTTCTATTTGTCGGTTTCAGACAGAACCTGATCTCTATTTGCCATTTTCAGCGCTAGTTTTTTATCGTCACTTTACTGGCAAGTGATCCGTACAGTTTTCGAAAAACAATTGTTAGCTGCGTCATATAGTCTCGTGCACAATATGACGCAGCAAACAATATTCGGCACAAAAATATAAGGCCTTTTAAATAAAGTATTAATTGTTTTTTACCTTCGCCAAGGAGGTTATGTTTTCGGTGGCGTTGGTTTGTTTGTTTGTTTGTCTGTTAGCAACAAGGTTCCGGGTTTGAATCCTGGTCAGGGCATTTCTTGTTTAAAGGGGGACATGAGCTGCTTGGCGGAGGTCTGCGCGCTCCGAGTGCTTTTCTAGTTTATTTTTATTCTTTATTTCACGAACATCCTGGAATAAACAAATACATCTTTACAACATCATAAAATTCAAGAGATGTGAAAACAACAGACGCAACTTCAGACACGGCAGTCTGAGCAGTGGCGTCACATCGGTGATTGAACTCACTTCATTGTCAGCTATATAGTGAAACCCCTTATGAGGGTTAGGCGTTAGGGACTGAGTGATTTCATTTCGAACCCAGCCTATGACAGACTGCTTTGTGCACAAGGGGCACCAAATTTGGCGCAAACCGAAAGTTCCTCGCAGAAGCTTTAACGATGTTCACAAGAGAAATACATAAAATGGTTATATCTCTTTTGAACTTGAAGTCTGCAGGAAAAATACTATATCCATGTCTGGAAGACAGCATGTGTCACAAATTATTCCTGATCATGGCTGTAGCATGTTTCGAAGAGTGAAAATAAAGAAAACAGCGGCCCTGGATGCTCCCTCACCTCCTGTGAAGCGTTCGAGTTTCCACAGATAATTATAGAGGCTATACAGCAGCTTCCCACACCTCGCCACCAGATATATAATGATACCTTGGCGGTGAAGTGGGCAAATGCACATCATTTTCATTAAGAGCACTCACATAATCCGAATTCTTTGTGATGGAGGAAGATAATTAATGCTTTAATGTTTTTTGGTCTTGCCACTCTTAGCGCAGCAAGAGAAATGAATTGTTACATTTTAATGAGAGAAGCGACGGCGCCGGCTTCCTGCGCAACACGGATGATTTTATAATTGCACACAAGGGTGACTAACTCAAGGCTCATTAAGGCGATTTTTCAGCTGGGCTGTTTTTTGGCAGGACAATACATTTATTTTTCCAATCTACTCATAAATATTTTTTTTGAGTTTTAATGTGAAACAAACAAACAAAAAAAAACAACAAGATGTACAAGAAATAATCTCCCAAGAAAATGTCTTTAATGAATCGTTTGTTGCTGCTTGTACCTAAGATTACATGAAAATACATTTAAGTTGACTGCAAGTATGGCAACATATTCACACATATAAACAAGTGGTGCATTTTGTATTGTATGTATAGGTATGTACAACAGAAACACGTTACACTCTGGTTTAAAGTTGTGCAAGTGTGTTATATATACTAACAATTTATAAAATTCAACACACTAAATAAAAAAAAGAAGAGTGTGCCCACATATATACACATTCACACGCGCACAACCACAGTAGTTCACAAAAGATTAAAGCAAATGTATTGGATTATACATTTCCGGGTCCCCTTAGAGGCGACTCCAACTGTTCCTTCCTCACAAAGCGCTTGTGAGTTTGTTTTTGACGTCATTGTTAGCATGTGTGTGTGTGTGTATGTGTGTGTGTGTGTGTGTGTGTGAGTGAGTGTGTGTGTTTTCGCCTATAGCTCTGACCTGACAGTGACAGAGACACACACACTACTGTCTAGGCTATGCTGCAGCCTGCGGTTGCACCATCAGCTAAATGTTTTAAGTACAGTCATCTGAGGTAGACTGCGCAAAACTTCACGGTGTTACCCCCTCCCCTTCCCTTCCCCCCGCTTTTATTTTGAAAAATTTTTCAATGCGGTTTCCACAAATGTCTGACATTTGGAAAGACGTAACTCAAATACCACGTGTGTTTTTGTAGCCATGAGGTAGAAATGCTTTAAAGAGGAACTCAAGCGTCCGTTTAAAGAAAGGTTTCCGGAAGAAAAGAAAAGAAGAGGAAAAAAAAAAGAACAGACGCCATGTAGAAAAATAAGGTCAAGACACAAAAAGAAGGACCACAAAACACGTAACAAACAAGCGTAGCATTGACCGGTGTGTTTCAAGTCGTTTGTTTGTCGGCTGTGGAGAGAGAGAGAGGAAGAGAGAGACGCCTGTGCTGTTGATGTGTGCTCTGAAGTGCATTAGTAGGTTTTTCTGTCTAAAGGGACTCTCTCTCCAGAGGATTTGCTGACAGAAGGAATTCTGGTACAGATTGTTTTGAGGGTGGTTTTTCTGACGGACCACTCTGCTTTCCCCTTGTGCTGCCGCCACGCTGCCTGGCTGTCTTTCCTTTCCGTCAATTTTGCTGACGCTCAGCAGAACTTTTTTTTTTTTTTTCTTTTTACCCCCCCTCCTTCTCCTCTTCACATCAGGTGCTGCACTGATGGCGCTCAGAGCAGAGATAGCAGCACAGAGCGGGCCTGGGCGTACAGCGCGGAGCTCCTAATTCCTAACCAAACAGGATGTGCGATGCCAGTCTTTAAAAAGTGGCGAATGAAATCTCCTTTGGGAATAACACCAGACAAAACAAATCAAGCGCTGCCATTGGCATTGAAACATGGACAAAACAAACGTTACACAAAAATGCCTTAGTGCAGGTACATTAAACTATCTTAAGTATTCATATCTCACACCAGTAATGCTTGGTGACAAAAGAAGACAAAAAATTACATTCCAATGCAACACAATGGGTGAATGGTAACCTTCAGGAGAGGAGGACTTTTCAGACTAACGCCCAAAATTCCTCGCTCACGTTACAAAGCATCTCAGTCGACCGAAATATGTATCCAGTTGCGTTTGGGTTAGGTGCTTTGTGCCATCAGAGTGAATAAAGTGAAAACAGCTCAAGACAGACAGAAATACTGACAAGGGTTTGAATTTGGCCAGACTGTTCAAGACGATCACGATTAAAATCCCTTTTTTGTCGCCCTGGTTTGACAGTATTTATAATAAAACTGAGAGATACCCATCATGACATGATTTTTCTTCGATCTTGCCCAGTTCAAATTCTAGGAGTAGTTTCCCATCCTACCAGAGAAGCAGAGTGAATAACAAAGAAACGGCGTAAAGTTCTGACACCAAAGACAGCGTTTCTGACTGAAATGAACCGCAGTAAATTACGACAAAAGACAGCAAGTTTAAAGAAGAGTCAAACATCTCCCTCCCTTGTCATTGTACTGTATGTGGAGTTCCCCGTATTGATTTAATCATCTGGATGTGTTTTTAGTGCATCTATCTCGCACGGAAATTAGCTGACGAACCGATGGAGCCTCCAACGCAGTCTGACCACGACGTCGAGATAGCCTAATATAAACAATAATGATTATGTTGTTGTAATAAATACACAGCTCCCCCCACCTGACATGAGTCCATCTTGAAACCCCCCAAACAACAAAGCTGGGCAACATGGTTTGACATTTTTTTAAGAGCCATGGAAATAAGCTTCAGGATTGGTCAAGTAGAAACAGGTAACTAAAGCACCTGTTGTGAGGAAAAGAAAGAAAATAACGTTAACTCTCACGGTTGATTATGTTCCATCACTTGAGAACATATCTATTACATTCATTGTCACCTCTTTGCTCTTAATCCTAGCCAGCTGAGGTACACCTAACACTGCTTAACTAAACTGCCAAACCACCTCGGATTCCCCCCTCAGGTCTTAGTGCTTTTTGTCAAGGTATCTTGAGGTACTATACAATTCACAAACGCTTTCCTGAGTTTTGTTTGTTACGTTTGTTTGCTTTGCAGACAAAGGATCAGAGAGATGAGTGTGAGTCAGGGTCCAGACTACTGCCACCCTGACGGATTACTGCTCTAAGCAAGACAATAAAGACTGATTGACCACCGCCTATGGCTTCCGTCAATCTTTGTTTTTCAGACTCACCGTTGAAGTTTTAAAGCTCTTAATAATCGTCAGCTCATGCCATGAATGCAGATTGTGAGGCAAATCAACAAAGAGAAAAACAACTCAGAAAGCACCACTTCAGGCACTTAGATAGCCAACTAAATCTCAAGAACAAGAACATAAAGATATATACACAGACACTGGGGCGTCTCTTCCAAAGCCAACTTGCTTGCAATGTGTAAACAACGCCTGGCTTTCTGGAGTGTCAAGAATTCAAATTAAAACTCTTGCTCATTAACTGCAAAACTGCCAGTAGTCTCATCAAAACCAGGTCTCTCTCGGTGCATCTAAACCCTGCATGTGAGAACTCTGTGGGCTTGTGTTGGCCTTCTGTGTGCCTTTCCCTCCAGCACAATGCTTCTGCCCTGAGGGGAGGAAATGTGGATGCCTCTTTTTCTCAAGGGCGGACTCTTTCTTCTCACTGGCTGCAGCCGAACATTTTGTTCCACTCAGTGTATGTGTCAATCTCTTTCTGCGATATACTGGCTTGGAATTTACAAAAGACACTCTCAAAGTCCTGGTAGGTAAGTGGCCTGACCTGTCCCCTGGGCATCATACCCGTCATGTCCATGCCCTGTGCAGAGGCGTGTAACAGACCAACCAGGGCCTCCTGGCAGAATCTGGCCAAGTCTAGTCCGGAGAAACCCTCCGTACGCTGGACCAGCAGCGCCAGCTCCTCCTCGCTCAAGCAGTATTTGTGCTGAGATTGAGCCAGGAGCTGGTTCACGATCTGGTGTCGGGCTGTGCTATCCGGCAGGGGCACAAGGACCCTGCGAGCAAAGTACCTGCGCAGCCCTTCGTCCATGTCCTGGGGTCTGCTTGTGGAGCAAACCACCAACACTTGGTTGCTTCCATCCTCGCCCGAGCCCATGAGGAGTGAGTCTAATTGGGAAAGCAGCTCCCCCTTCAGGCGGTTGATGGGACTCTCTTCACTGAGGTGAGCTGAAAGCAGCATGTCCACCTCACTTATGAACAGTACTGAGGGCTGCCGACAGCGTGCCACCAGGAATGACGCTCTGATAATTTTTTCCCCGTCTGCAAGCCACTTGGTGGCCAACGTGGAACCGCTTAGCTGGAGGAACGGGGCTCCCAGCTGGCTTGCCAAGCAGCGTCCCAGCAAAGTCCTACCACTGCCCCTGGGTCCAAAGAGCAACACGCACCGTGGGGCCGGTCCTAAACTGCTGAACATGTCCGGGCGCAGAATCGGCCAGAGGACCTCCTCCTTGAGGGTTGCCTTGGCTAGTTCCAGTCCTGCGATGTCGCTCCAATCAACTGGGGGACCTTGCTGAACAATTTCAGAGGTAACCATGTCAAGGAGGTGAGGGTCACTGGTTTTCAGCTGCTCTTCAGCAGGCCTGGAGGAGGGATTGGATGATGCAGAGGTAGGCCCTGGAGCTGAGTGGGGGATATGAAGGCGGTGGTCCTCAGTGCCTTGCTCACTGAGGGAGGGGGAGGTGAAGTTGACTAGGGAATCTGCAGAGCGAGAACTCCCTAGGGTGGAGGAAACATATGCAGGTGGAGTCATGGGCCCACCTGTTGCCTGGCTGCTGTACTTCCTCTGCTCTGATGACATCGTAGACTGCTTCTGAGGATTAAAAGGTAAGGACGATTTTTCTGCACTGCGGTCAAACCCACCACCACTGGTGCTGTTGGAGCCTCCATTTGCACTGCTGCTGTCTGCTATCCTGTACATAGGGCTCTCCGATGAGCTCCGGGTCTGGCCATAGCCGAAGTTGCCGTAAGAGTCAATCTCTCCTTGGCCTGTCATGTAGAAGGCTTTCCTCTTGAGTGAATTGGAGGAGCTACTGTTGAGAGGAGTGGGGGCGATTGGGGTCAGGTTGTGGCTCTGGTATGGGTATCCAGGTAAAGTAGAAGGAGGGGGGAGCGGTGTAGGAGCAGCAATGCCTGAGGGGAGGTATGAGGAAGGAGGGGGCGCTCCCCCAGGGCTGTATCCTGGCCCTACTGCACTCTGAGCTGGGTAGCCTGCTGGGGGGTAATTATAACTAGACAAGTTGGGGGAGCCTCCATTGTAAGCTGGGACCAAAGTGGGGTGGGAAGGCGGTGGAGGGGGCGGCTGCAGGAGCCCAGAGCTGTGCAGTGGGGAGGGCAGTGCCGGGGTGGGGGCAGACTGGGAGCTGTAACTACTGTGCAGGTAGGAGCCGCTGTACGAGGGGCCGTATTCCTGAGAGGGCATGGAGGAAGAATGGAGCGCGGTGGCGGTGTGGCTCCCACAGCTGCTGCTGGAGTAGCTGGGTTCACTTAGGGTGCTAGAAGCCAGACCCGGGGAGCTGCACATGCCAGACACTACCTCTGAAGCTGCTGCCACCCCACCTTTTCTGACAGACACCCCCTCAGGGATACAGCTCATGGGATAGACGCCATCTTGCCAAGGTTCTGATTCACCTTTCCGTCCATTCATCACTCCAGGCCCCTCAGGGTAAGAGCCTGGCATCTCAAGAATACCAGAATACTTCTCGGCATACTTCTTTAGAAGGTTGGAGGCGGTAAGGGCCGAGATGTCGTCATTGGCCCAGGCGTACTGGTAGGTGGCGGAGCGCTGTAGGTGGCCAGGTACCGCCCTGTAGGCCTCGGCCTTGTGAGCTGGCGAGCGCGTAGTGGAAGAGATGTCGAAGTGCTGTTCGGCCCACTGGCTGTGCTCGGGGGTCCACTGCATCTTTAAGCCTGAAAGAAACGGTGACAAAGACGACTGCAGGTCAACACACTGGTAATCTGAAACAATTTCAGCAATAATTAAAATAACAACACCTCTAAATTGTTTGGAATGGAAGGTGCTCAATTAAAAAGTGACAATCATCGGGAGATTTGTTTGGCGTTGGGGATGCTGTTGGGATTGACCGCAACTTTCATTAGCAGCTTAATGTTGGGCCTTATTGGTTTAGACTTTATACACAAGAGGTTGCGACACGGCAGTATGTTCTGATTTGCTGCAATCTGAATAAAATGGTCTGATTGATTGATTGATAAGGGGACTGGAGGTGTCAGCAGGTATAGTGCAGTACAGAGGGATGGTGGGATGGCTGGTTACGACAGCCTAATGCACCCCGGCCAGACCAATAAGACAGAGGCATTGAGGGTCACTCTATAATCCCCAGCTCATCTGAGGTGGCTGGAGATGGGTTTGAAAATGTGCCTCGCCGAGTGCCACAAAGCAACACACACACACCCATGCACATCCACCCCCCTCTGTTCGTGGCGCTTTCATCCAACACACACACACACACAAACCCTTGCTTAGACACACAGGCGTTTAAAAAAACTATCTCTGCCTGCACTCAGGCGTGCTGACGTGCACGCACTCACACACACACAAGCGCACATCCACTGACCCAGACGGACAAACACAGGCACGCACACAGGAGCTGTAGCGAGCAATGAATTACAACACATTGTGTCTCAAGCTTAGTTCCTGTCTGCACAGCTCCACCTTGACCTCTCTCTCTCTACCGTTCTCTTTACCTTTCTGTCTGCCTCTCTTCTTTATGCCTCCCTGCCGCCTTGTCTTCCCCCTCAGTCTCTTCTCTTTGCTTTTTCTGGTCCACCATTTTCCACCACCCCTCCTGCTAGATCCTTCTTTATTCCTCTTCACCTCTCCTTTATTCTGACTCCATCTATTTCGATATATATCTCTGCTTTTCATTCCCTTTCTGCTCTTTCTCTGCGGCCACCCCTCCTCTTATTTACTCCCTCTGTGCTTGCTCCCTCCCCTCCTCCTCCTCTTCCCCCTCCTTCCCCTCCCCTCCTTCCTTGCTCCATCTCATCTCAGACACACTCACCTGGCTCTCCCCTTTATTGCCTCAGGAGGCTGGAGAGCCACTGTTTCCTTTAATCCCAGCCAATGCCATCTGCAAACACTGACAGTCACACAGCGACTCCATCGTTGTCTCACTATCAAAGCCGTGGCACTATCAAAGGCTGGACGGGGCGTAATCACAGCAGCCGCACGGCAGATTGAACCCCGTTTGATTTGACTTAGTGCACACAAATAAAGGATAATATCGGTGTCATTTAGGCTGCTTCCTCTGACTTATTGACTGGCAGCGGTTGCATGTAGAGATCCACAGTTGGGGGTCTGGTGAGCAATCCCTGCTTCGGAATTGGTTTATGTGTGTGTTTTTGTGCTTGTGTGAGTAGAGCAGACATGCACAATGAAAACCATTCATGCTGGAGCAAATCTTCCATCCCTCCCTTCCATTTATGTTCGCACAAACACAGACGTACACACAAAATGAAGCACTCGCACATACACGTTCGCACTCTCTTGCTCTCTTTTCTGAGGCCCTGTGTTTGTTTGGTAACAACACAGGGAAGGCGGGGGGAATCCCCAGACTCCTATTTCCTCTCTGATTCTCCTCTCTAGCCATCTCTCGGCAGACGCCAGTGGCTAATTAGCAGAATGGCGATCTGCTAATTGTGTTAATTTACAACATTTTAGCCGAGGGGAGTCTAGCAGGGGCTGGCAAGCCTGTCACCCTCCTGGTGTACCGAGCGGGGAACGCCTCAGACAAAGAGCTGAGCGGTGGAAAGTTTTGTATTAGCTGGGAGGCTCCTTTAATATTGAGAATATATTAAGTGGGAGCAGCATGATGAAAGGGCAGCATTTCAAGGGGAAAATTATGAGGCAGGAAAACTGGACAAAACAAGAGCAGAGAAGGCTGTAGGCAGGAAACAAGAATCTTATACAGCAGCCTGGACTGTACGCACCTTTACACTGTTGCTATGTATATTAGGTCTTTCACTCAATGACTGAAAAGAGACTCAAGTGTGTAAATCCATCATAGAGCAAACCTATTTAGTGACTATGTATTTCAAACTCAGCATGGACAATAACTTCAGCATAGTGCTAGTCCAGGCAGGCTGTATAGTCAGGATCAGGATCAGCCCATATTAGCATACAAGTCAGATCATAACAAATGAATCCTATTGGCTAATCCACCCTGATGCCTGCTCCTGGGGGTCTTCGCTGCTGCGCTCCCTGCCTTAGTTTTCATAAATGCATACGACTAAAAGAGTTGGCAGGAAACTCTCAAAACAGATCTATTTTATTAAATCAAAACCAGATATAAAACTCATTGATAGTAAAATAATATGATTCAAAGACCGTGTTGTCAGACCGCCTCAAAGTCTTCAAATTTTAAAGAATTAAAGGAGCGTATTGTCCTGGTTCATTTTTGATGTACAGCCTGGAGCGAAGTGCAAGTGTAGCAGCGCACACAAAATATCAATTATTGCTACATTAGCCCTGAAGCATTCAAGTACATACAGTAGAGGAGAACTGAAAGTCTACCTGCAAAAAGGCAGCCACACCTTTAGACATCAGCTCTCTCTTACATACAGCGCCATCAGAATCTCACTGGCCTGGCCAATCTAGTATTTATATTTCTACAGCGCCATAGAAATATCTACCTGTACAGTAATCTAATTAACAACCAATACTTGAGGTCAGTAAATGACACCAATGTCTTCACGTGTGTGACCTTAGCTTGAGATAATCGTGTGATAAAGTCGGATTATGACGATATAGACTCAAGTGCCAACCACAACACATATTACACTAAACTATTAAAATGAACCTTTTTTGTGCTCATAGATCTTTGATTTCTCTCTTTCCATCCGAAGGAAGCGACTACATCTTCCTATCAGGCTGTTTAGAAACAATAATGATTTGATTACGACGTGTGAAGATGGATTTGTCTTTGCGCCGTTATGATGAATTGGCCTGTTTAGACCTCGTTTCTACGTGCGGCGCTCTGGTTCTGTGCAGGGATGCGTTCGGAAAAACGGACGGAGATGGAGAATAAAGCGAGAATAGAGAGGAAGTAGAAGAGCAGGAAGGGAGGAAGCAGAGGAGACCGCATGAAGGGGGGGATTAAAGAAACAAAACAAAACAAACCTTAAATCGCACGCGCTCGTCTCCCCACATAGTTTGACACTCCATCAAACTCGGATGTGTCCTCCATTTAAAGAAACATGGATCTTTCTAATTCCATCATTAATAAAGATAACATATATAAAAGAGTGTGTCAGCCTCCATCAGGGCTTTCATCTCCTCTATAATGAGGTTAATGCAGAGACGCAGTGATTACCCCAGCAATGCAAATGAAGGCCAAATGATAACTTGCACTATTTAAATAAGGTAATAGCGATTACTCCACGTTATTCAAATGAGGACGGAGGCTTTGAACTGAGCGCTTTGAACTCGCTGCTCCTTCTCCAAAACATATAAAAGGGATGGAGGAGGATTGACTTTGGACTCATTCAGTGTGTATCCTCTAATTCAATGTGATGTAAACCAAGGGCAACGAGCGAGGCAAAGTCGCTTAATGTGGCGGCGGCGGTTGGTGCAGGATGGGCGGGGTCATCCGGGGGGAGAAAAATCAAGGTGGGCCGACTTACTGCTCACTTTCAAAGACCTTGAAAGTTGCTAGGAAGTGGACTGAACAGATAATAGATCCTGTTTCATGCACGCAAGATATACGGTATATGAATCATGCAAACGATATTTTATCTTGTGCATAGAAAATAACAATAATCTAGCGCAAACAAGATGATCACAAGAGATTACACTGTGCACAAATATATTTACTTGTAGACACGAGATATTAACTTGTGCACGCAAGATACTAACTTGTACCCACAATGAAATAACTCATGTGAGCATTGTTATAATCTTGTGGAAACAAGATTTCACCGAACGCACACATTATTATATCTTGTGCCCACTTGATCTCGCAAGATAATCACCAAGAGCTTGTGCACACGAGAAAAGTGGCTCGTCCCTGCAAGATATCAACTTGTGCACACAAGAATTTTGTACTTTTTGGGACTTCAGGGCCTCCGTAGAGTTTGATATCAGAGTTTAAAACACTGATCTGATATTAAACAGATTAAAATCAGAGTTTTTGACTTAATATTTAGTTATTTTAACGCCATCAGCTCCTTTCACAGATTAAATTTTGCTTCTTGCGCTGAGCTGTTTGCTTGAAGTTTCTGCTGATAAAGCTTTCATCAGGAAGATGAAGCACTTAAAAAATGATCAAAATCTTGGGCCGAATTCTTCCCATTCATGCCTTTTTATTTCCTGCAGCATACCTCCTTCTCTCTTTTTTTCCACTCAGGGTTTTCAGGTCTGTGGGACATTTGCAAAGCATTTCAGATGGACACGCAGAGCACGGAGAGACGTGTTTGTGTTGAGGGAGAGGGAGGGAGAGGGATCGTGCACTCAGCTGAAACAACATCCAACAGAAATCTTCTCCACCTTCTGAAGCATCAAGTCTGCCAGCGCCTTTTCTCCCCCCTCCTCCTCCTCCTCCTCCTCCCCGTCTTTCCTCTCCTTCTCCTTCTCCAGCCTCCACATAGAGAAGCCTAATCATTCTCATTACACTCGGCGTCCATCTGCATCAACAGAGCTGCCTATTACTGTGCTGTGTGCGTATATGTGCAGTAAACAGCTCTTTAGAGAGAGCTAATGAGCTCTTTTAAGTCTGTCTGCCGTGTGATTCTGCAAGCGGGGTGTCAGAGCAAACTGCCCATTTTGGTAACGTCATAATTAAGCCGCATGTCTATTTGTGTGTGTGTGTGTGTGTGTGTGGAGAAGCGATGCGGGCACACATGTCGGCGGACACACGCGCACAAAATCCGTGACAAGACGTACAAACGTGCGGCCTTTTCTGTCTTTCCAACGCAAACAGACGCTGAAAAAAAAACCCAACAAACTATCAAACCGGTGTCATATTTTTATTAAGAGCTGCTCCTGCATCTCAAGGCGAGTGTAGGAGGAGGGGAAGGAGCGGCGTGACAGGCGATAACTTCATCAGGAGAGACCTGTTTTCACACACCACGGGGGAAATCTAACCAGCCAGTTATTCAAATCCTTATCAAATACACCAGAGGGCATCTTTTAACCTCCAAATCGCTGCGAAAAAACGCAGGAATATGCGCCAAATGTAGCTATTGTCTCATGAGCGCGTGTGTGTGTGAGTGTGTGTGTGTGTAGTCTCACGCTCGCAGGCCCTTGTGTGTGTTTGACAACCTCCGGACCACCTTGTTAATGAGTCCGGCACACTGTGACTAAGCCACAGGCTATGCTGTATTGGCACACGAGCTACAGAAGAGAGTCAAATAATGTGATTAGGTCCTCCAAAAGGCAATTAATTATGAAATTAGTCATGAGCTTGTGTCACACACTCACAAAAAAAAAGACACACACACTCATCAAAGATACAACCCTGCGCTCGTTTGAGGAAAAGTGTCACACGAAGCTAAAAAAATTAAAAAGTACCCCATCATCGACCTTTTTTTTTGTTTTTGCGATTCCAAATGATTAAAAAAGACAATTTGGGCGAACAGACGAGCTAAATTTTTCCTCCGACGAGCGACAAAACTGTCCCCAGACTTCTCTCTGAAAGTGCCAACCGAGCCCCCGAATCGGCGCCCCTTTGAAGCGCAGCTGCAGCTTACCATTACGACGACTAGCAACGACAAAAACAACAACAGCGACAGAAAAAGGGAGTAAACAGAGCGAGTTCAAAGTCTAGACGGCGAGCAGTGACCGGGAGAGATGAGCTGTCACTAACTCAAAGACGGAGAGGAGGGGAGGGGGAGATTGCTGTACGAATGACAGCTCGGAGCCGGGATATAAGGATATGTGACAAATGACGGCGTCTTTAAAAAAAATCAAATATTCATTGTAATCTGCGATCTTTGACCTCCTGATAAGTTTCCGCGCAGCTCCGACCATCAAACTTTTGAAATCAGCGCCTCTTTGTGGAGCCGGTTTTAAGAGCGAGATCAGAAACGGGCTTCATCGCCGTATGGAAATGTTGGAGCTTTAAAAATATTAGGGGGTTTATTTAATGATGAATCTAAATTTAGAGCGCAGAATAAATCATCTTAGTGGATTCCAGAGGCGGATCATCGCCGCCCCTGCCAGCTTGCCTGTATCAGATCTTCCTTACAGCTGGATAAATTGACACTGTCTAAATTTCCTTTTACTAGACAGACTATTGAATGGGTGGGTTAAATGGGTAGGGCGCAGTTAAACAAATGCTCCGGATCAAGGAAATTGTGCGTGGCTTCTTTTGTCATTCAGAGAGGAAATTGAGAGATATTCGGCGGGGGCTCGGAGCCCGCTAACGCATGGCCATTCATCTATAATGCACTCGGCCTGTCCGTCAGCTACTCCATTTCCTGTGACTAGCGCAGCGTGCCTAATCACCCGGCTCGACGCGGGGTTCCTTCCTCAAAGACACACACACACACACACACACACGTAGACACACACACACAGAGACAGGAGCGGTCAGAATGAAGGCAGGACAAAATAAAACATGCAGAGAAACATCAGGCCCGCTGAGGCAGAGCGATTATTCTTATCTGGTGAATTAAACATCTGTGGAGACTCGAGTGCCAGGACAACATCGTCTGCCGGGTAAAGGGGCTCAAACTACATCACACACCTGTCCTGTGATTGGTTAATTCATCACGTAACGTTGAAGACTTACATCTACAGCGGTGATTCGTCTTATTTGTGCAATTATTCAGGAATTAATTGCAACTGATTGCATGTTTAAAATACCGTTATTGTGCATATCAGACTAGCTATGAAGTCCATGTTAATATATAATGCTGCTCAGTCGCACCAGTGTGAGAGGCGGCTCCTTCAAACTTTAACTTTTAATTTTTTAAAGGATAAAACTGTTGCACGTTAAGAATTATGCAGAAGGGGAATCAGCGCTAAATGACGTCCAGGGATTCCTGGTTAATGCAACAGCGTCTCCTCCTTTCTGTGTGCATGTGTTCTCCTCACATATTACAGGTCTGGACCGTCAGCTGCTTTGATTTAGTTTCATCCACGGGTCTGCAAACTCCCAAATCATGCTCTTTGTTACCCACTGACATTAGTCTGATTAGCTGCACTTTTATGCTCGGCGAATAGGCGGAAACTTAAAGCAGCAGCAGGAGGAGGAGGAGGAGGGGGACGCTGTAGCTGCTTCATCACAGTGTGAAAACAGCAAACAGCCCGACTTTAAAGCTCCTTTAAGGAGTTTTTTTTACATTTATGAAACAGACAAAAACTCACACTGATGCCTTTTGATGACATATAAAGGCAAACAAAAACATCAGAAACAAGATCAGCAATGTGTTTATTGTAACTTTGAAGCCTGAACCCTGTGTGGGAGGGTAGGTGTCATCCAAACAGCTGGAGAAACAGACATTGTTTTATCCTTTTCATGTAAAATAATCAAAACAAGTGATACTTTTTAATGGCCAAAGTCAGGATGAGACAATAGAGGAAGAGATAAGCCAAGGCAGCTTTGTCCATGGGGGGCACAAATGAGAAGTTCCTCACAGGAGCTTTAAATTACACTAAATCAAGAGCTGCCTCCTATCTCATCTTTTGACAAAAAAAAAAATCTGATCCTACTGACTTTCATCAGTCAAAAATATGATTTATTTGAGATATTTCATGTAGAATCTGTCTCTTCAACCTCTCCACTGACACCTACCCCCTTGCATCAGTTACAGGAAATAAAAATCAGTATATAAATATTATCAACCATAACACTGATGGTCTGGTTTCTTTTTGGATATCATGGAAATGCTGCAGCATGAATTTCATTCTATTTCATCAGGAGCTTTAACGAACATTTCTTAATGCTACTTTGAGAGGTTTTTTACTAGTTATGACTCAAATTGTTATAAAGGCCTCTTTAGATTTAAAGTAAAGAGAGTTAGAGGAGCTTTAATATTGATGTTTCAGAATTTAATACTCCTACTAAACGCGTTAAAGCTACTGTAAGGAGTTTTTAGCTAGTATAAAAATAAACGGAAACTGATATTGGAAATCATCAGCATCTATACTGTGATTTTTAAAGGTGTATCTGCTGCCACAGGGTAGGTGTCAGGCGTCATGAGTTCACAGTGAGCGATATCTTTTACTGAGTAAGATCAGAAAAATAATAGGATGTAGCACTTTGTCTCTTAAAGACGTCAAAATAGATGAAGACTAAAAAAAGCTTGACAGGAGCTTTAAGTTGATACAATTACAAAGAGATCGTATTTGTGCGTTATAATTAGAGCACACAAATTGCACTGGATGAACTTCCTTTGGAGACTTTACAGACAAAGTGAGACAAACATCCTCCTACGCTGGTGTCAATTAAACCTCCAGCGTCCGCCGCTGCAGTCGCCGCTCTGTCAGGTGACAGCAGGAATAGTTGTACATCTCCATCGGCATTCCCCACAAACACCTCTCAGACTGCTGCTGCTTCCACCTGAGGGGCATCAACAGGATCTTTCAGAGCTGCCCTGAGGTTAACATGAGGCCACATGCTATCAATACTCCTCTGACGCCCGGATCCATACCTGTGAACCACCAGCACTTTGTTTACCTGTGTGTTCAGTAATTAAAATAGATTTCTGAGAGGAGGCCTAATCCTTTCAGAAATGACATCGATCCCTGCTACCAATGCAGGAGAGTGACTTTTCCCCCCCTCCCGCCGCTATCCTCCCTCTCTTCCTCTTTTGATAGAAACTTTGGAAAGTCCTCGACATGAAGGACGTCATTTAGGGCCAAGCGGGGAGGAGAGTGGGGAGGAGTGGGGGGTTAGCGGCAGAGGGGTGGCAGGTGGAGATAATAGAGAGGAAGCCTCTAACCTCGACTAAAGCTGTCTGTCTTCGTAAATAAAATGAGATAATTATTGAGTGAACAACATTATACACCGACGACACTCTCCTTCTTCTATCCCCCCTCCTACCTCTTACCAGCGTGGTTGTAAATCTCAACAAACACGGTGCTTTTGGACATTAAGTGCTCACTAAGCACAGTGGATGCATCATATTTCAAGAGCAGGCGTTGTGTGGGTGAGGAGCTGGGGAAAATGGAGTGTAATGGTTATCCATTATCTTATACGGCAACGGCGGCGATGATCATTTTCAAGTGACTCATTTCTGGAAGTACCTATCTATTGGCCACTTGGAGGGAAGACTTTGATGGCTAATCCAAAACAACTATTCAGAGGTCATTTACAGCTGCGGCGCGGAGACACTCCGCACAAGAGAAAACGCTCCAGCCTCCCTCATTATTCAAATACAATCCTCAGGAAGAGCCACATCACAAACAGCGGCGCCGCAGCCCCGGAGTGGGCGATTACCTACACAGCATACTCCGGTCCAGAGTGGAAGCATTAACAATGCATCAACAAATGAATATATCACAATTCAAGTAAGAGTTTGAAAGCGCAGAGATATATTTGTCATGGGAATTAAATAGTGATACTGGAGTGTATTAACATATCAATGATCCCACTTGGTAGTCAATAATATGAAGAGAGAAACTTTCATATTATTCAATCGTATTATTTTCTTCTGCGGAGGTAAAACACATATTTTTAGAAGTGTAGGTGCGATGTTTGTTTGTGTGTGGTCCCGGCTCCACATGAATGGTTACTTAACACCACACTGATTTCCCCTCAGCAGTTAGAGAAAAACCAGCCGATGCTCAATGATGCATCACCGTGTTTGTTGCCGCCAGGCTGTGTGTGTATGTGTGCGCGTATGTCTGTGTATGTGTGTGCGTTAGCATCGCTGGCACGTAGACAGACAGCCCAGGAGTGACTGCCGGAGTGTCACCATCTGTGGATGCATTATGTCTGTCTGCACTGGGCTGTGTGTGTGTGTGTGTGTGTGTGTGTGTGTGTGTGTGTGTGTGTGTGTGTAGAAGTGAAAGAAGAGGGGTGGGAAGGGGGGCACTCAGTCAGACAGTAAACTGGACCACAGCACCGTAGTTTGCTTCTTCTCACAACAGCAAGCAAAGTCGCTGCCAAATACAGAACTACACTAGAAAAACTGTCAACTTTAACGAGGAAATAACTTCAAGAATATAAAGTAATGACCTTTAAATCTTGCAGTTTCTAAAACGAGAGCGAAAAACGGTGCCAAATGTGGCGCGAGACGCATAATTTATTGAGAAAACTCACTCCTGAAACACGACAAATCTTCCCACTTATCCTAATTGAATATTTGGAGCTGTCACTGCAGCACCAGGGCTCATAAGGAAAAGCGCGAATTTAAGGCGTCCGCTCTGTTGAATGACTCGTCACGGAGAGTTTTTGCAGTGTACCAAACACTTGGCAAGCGAGCGAGATTAGAGTTCAACAGCAGTTGGTGGAGATTAACGCCTGCCGTGAGTGGCGCACGTGCGAGGGGTGTGTGTGTGTGTGCACGTGTGTGTGCGCCTGTAGGGTGTGTGTGTGTGTGTGTGTGTGGATTACTGAAGAGGCCCTGGCTGGGATAACCTCTACCCCCAGCCTTGTGAACTCGCAGGATCCTTCGCCGCGCATGTTTGAAGTGCGAAATCCTGCACGCTTCATATGGATCCTGGCGAGATCTGCCAACTCACGCCTTCCCTCGCCACGTCCTCATAAAAAGGGAGAATATGGAGTCTCTTTATGTCTTAAATAAAACCAGAACAGAGGGGAGGTTAGAGGTAACGCTTTTATGCTATTAGATGGTAATTTAAGAGCGCACTTATTTGTCCTCCTCTCCGCTAAAGACGAGTTTCGGCACAAACTTTGGAGTCATTTATCATAATGGCTCAGCGTGACAGCGCAGTATACAGGATGTAGCAGAGGCTGACAGGTGAGGTGAAAGGGGAGAGCGAGGACACGTCGCCCCAGGTCACCGAGTTGGATCCAAACTTTTGGCGCTTGCTGCAACGTGAGGCGCGACGGCAGCTGCCGATTCGCCGTTTTGAGTTAGTGGCGTGTGCGCAGGTTAAGTCGGGTTTAAGTTGGTGTAAGGGGTACGAAGGCGGCGGCGTGTGCGGGGTTCAGCAGGTAGGCAGAGTTGGTAGAGGAGGGGCGTGTGCGTCTTTAAATCCACTGTGGCTCGCATTATGCTGGAATTCACACAGGTTGTCTAAACAGTCAAACAGCGGATCAATACGCTCATCGATCGGTGGCATTGAGACTGAACTGGTCGTGTCGAGGGGGCAGAAGATTCTCACTAGAGCTCTCAGCAGGCTGCGGTGCTGGAGGACACACATACAAACGCGCACGTATGGTTTATATACGTGTTTGCACAGCCTGCACTTAAGGAATCCGGGGTGGAATATACTGCAAATATTTGTGAACGCTCGTGTATAGATTTACGAACACTTGTCTTTTTCTACCCACTCCTCGAGCCTCCTTGGGACACAAACTACCTCCACACAAACATCTCGTACGAGCAGATTCGGGCCCTGTCTGTTCGAGTCAGAGCAGTCTGCCAGCAGTTTGTCTCAAAGTGAGGGCATCCAGTCAGCTCCAGCAGCTGAATATCAAGCTGGCTGCTGCCGCCGCGTCTCCCTGCGCTCAACTGACACAGTCGATAGCTCTGCATTATTCATGGGGACGGCGGGGGCCGATGAGATGGCCTCTCACTGAGGGCTGGATTTCAACAGGGCCCAAACTTTACAGGGGCTGGCGGACGCGTGACACCTTCAACAACTGCTTATCGTCAGCGAAAATGACAACGTGCGGCACGGGAAAGGGCAAGGAACTTGAAAGAAGAGAGGGGGGGAGGGCCTTAGGGGCGAGTCTGGAAACAAATTCACTTGTTTTGACTGTAAGTTTGACACGATCACTTGAAGACAAACTCTTAGTCACAAACAAGCCCCGGTGTCTTTTAAATAAATTTTTACAGAGCTAAAATAGCCCCAGAGTGAAAAATAAAGTACATATTATGACTCCCTTGTCAGCTCATCTTGTTTGCTATCAAGTCAATAAACACGGATCACAAAGTTAACATGAAAACCTGACGCGTCCCTTTGCGCTAATAAAAAGAAAACAAATCATAATTTCAAATGCTGCTCATCCGTGTTGGCTGATTTCCATTACACAGACTAAAGACATCAATTAGCTAAACTGTGTTGGAAAAGAGGAGGGGGAGAGAGAGAAAAAAACACACAAGAAAGAAAGAAAACAGACAGTTATTCGGAGTAAATCAAACAAGACGCAAAGAGAACCAGAGGCGATAAAAAACGTCAGGCTGCTTGATATCAGATCTCGGAGGAGAAATTTGATGGGCACCGATGAGCAGAAGGCATCTCAGGAGAATTGGACAGAGGAGAGATTTAATGTGATCATAGGGGACGCTCATCTTTCAGGGAACGGGGTAATAATGAGCAATCAATAACGTCCTTAACAGAGTTAGAGCGAGCGGCTGACAGCAGATGTAAGGCTTCGGCTAACAGGCTACGTCTGATCTCACATTACCACACTGGATCTGGGTGTAACAGGCGCGCACCAGCGCACAAACCCGCACACACACACGCGTGTACGGTATGTATGCGAATGTGCGAACGCCGGCATATGGGCCAACACGCACAAACATATGGATACACACACTTCCTTTCCTCTCTGTTCGCCTGTTTTCCTCAGTCACCCACACACTCGTCTCTCTCTCTCTCTCACTAACACACACTCTCCTCAGGTGACACGCACTGGCATCGTGTCATTGTCTATCGATCAATGCCTGTAATCACATTCACAGGCGTTGAACACACGAGTAGGCTGCCTGTTCATCCGCCGGCTGCTGATTTTACTCGCTGAAATGACAACCACCGCTGGCAGGTTCTATCAGCCGTGCTGGCGCGGTAATAAAAAAACATGCTGTATTTACTTATGAAGTAAATAAAGCTGTGTACTCAGCCTGCTGCTGTCGAGGCCACTTAGGCTCAGCTGCCATCCACACTTTAGGTCTCTGGCTGGCTACGCCTGAAAGTGACTCACAGTTTGTCTTAATCTAATAACTGACAAGAATAAAAGGTAGAAACAAACCACTTATCAAAGAGATCGGCCTTCGAATTACCAAATACGTCCCGGACCAAGAGGCCAAAACGTGCATCAACATTTCTTGTACTTTAAAAATTACTTCCTTCTAAACACAATCAACAGAAAATGGGAAAATTCATAACGTTTGGCATATTTATCGACTACTGCTGTTATTTTTCTGAGCTAGCATGACAGAAAGAACCAGCGAGCGCTGCTGTATCCTGGCGAAGTGAATAAACTCGAGAAAAAAGTGTTAATTTTTAAAAAAGGTTTCACCAATCATTATAAAAAAGGCCAAAGTTATCTCCAATTTTACGGCCTGTTTAAACTGCAGGTAGAGCTAACTGATTTGGCTATTTCACTCTTAGCTAGCGTAACATAGCGAAAACTATTAAGCTTTGTTTCCCGCTAGCTGCTCAAATCAGGTCACGAATTTTATGAAGAAGTAACACAAGGAAGCGCTTTATACCGGACAACATGATGAAAACATTTTTGGATGGGGCTAATTGCTGAATTAGGAAACCTGAGAGCATTAAAATATATAAGTGTGAGCTAGCTTAAGAGAGGCGCCATTGGTCTTATTCCCCTTAGAAGTTGTATCATGAAAACTTGTATTTTTGAGTAACTTTTACCTAGATACCTCGAAAACTGGGAGTCTTTAGGTTTATTATGTCAAAGAAATAACCATTTAATGCTGTTTTTTGTCTTTTGGTAGGTCTCAGGACAAAAGCCAGGCGTTCAGTCGTCATTATTTCATATTCAAGCCTTTGTCTCGGTGTCGTCTCCAGTAACAGCTCGGATCATTGAATTGCTTACTCTACAACACTGCCAACTAATGTCCTCTGCTTGATAAAGATCTGGACATTCCAGCCAGAGCAAAGAAATAACTCGCGAGCCTGTTGCGAAAGAAGCCAGGACATCCGTCATCTCTCTGTGTGTGTGTTTTAATTTTCCTCAGTTCAACAAAGTTTACGACGATTTCGCGTCCTCGATCGAACCCCTGCCAATAAAAACACTGTTTACTGAGCAAACAGAGCGCCCGTATCTGTTTTTAAATGTTTGTTAGGTTACATTGGAGTAGCGCTGTGGCAATAATTGATGTTATTAGCAGCAACTATAACACATCCTTCCAGGAGACTGTTGTGTAACATCCCATTCAATGCCATTAAAGCTGTGAAGCACAGAGAAAATGAGAGATTTAATACCTCTCTGCTCTCTTCTCTGCATTTTCCCTCCAGTTCTGCCTGATCTGGAGTGAGGCAGACCAGGACCTTGATAACCGTGTGGATGTTTGTGTGCACGCTGGCAACTTAATGCACTTTCACATATCGTCTGTGCAATATTTCTCACAGAGGCAGCGGTTAGAAAGTCTTGTTTTCACTCATACTAAATAAATAATTACTGCTTTATTACTGTGGGGCGCCGCTGCAGCCCCGAGGCAAACACAGGATCTTTGCTTGTTTGTCATCTGGACGAAAACCAAAGAAGTGTATCTGAAATGGACAAATCAAAACGTTTCCAGGATTTCAAAACTCCACTTCTGACTGTATTTAAGTTTGCTTTGATAAACAAATACTGACGATAAAGGAGATAGGACGTCTTCTTGTCTGTGCAGGGATATAATCAGGTAGATAGGTGTGAGAACAGCGAAAAACGAGAGGAGGAAAGGGATTATTTATTGAAGAGATGAGCTGTGACATAAGATAAGGAGTGACTCTGCCGTCCTGTTGGAAGATGAATGTCATTCCACCGCCGAGGTCCCAGGAGGGAGATGAGTCAAGGCCGAGGAACGAAACGCAGGGCCGGCAGGACAGCCTGAAATCCAGCTCGTGATTTTTCATTTTGAAAACTCGTCACGAAACAGTAACTTCCTCTGAAATTAGACATTTAGCCATACCTTATTTTTATGCCAACCTTTAACGCCTTTTACATTTACAGTTTTTTTTAAATTCAGATTCGTGTCCCTAAACCTCGCCCGTCCCTGCCTCGTGGAAACGCAGCTGCCGTGCGTGCTTTCTGCCACTGAAAATCTGATTGACAGGGAGGTTTTTGTAAACAATGTCACGCTGTTGCAGATGCTCCAGCCCTTGTCAACAACTTGCACTAACAGCTGACCAGATGTGTCCGAGGGTTGCAGCGTTTCCTAGCAACAGCAAAATGTTCCGGCCTTATGGGGAAATCAAAGACCATGTATGGATACTGTGTTGATTTTTTAGGGGTTAATGCTGCCTCATGTCACTCATGTGGAGTTAATGTTCGTCTTGTGTCGATTTTTACCCAATTATGTGAGGTTAGAGAAATGACCACAGCCGGGGCCACTGTACACAAGGCAGGCAATCATTATATACTGGAAAATCACCACCTTTAAACAGGGATGGTAGATTTTTATATATATATAACTGCACTTTTATGTCAAATGTGTGATCCCTTGAATATGCTCAAAATATGATCAAATTCAGACGAACATAACCTGTGTTTTTAAAGACCAAACCAAAATATAGAGGCAATAAATAAGCTGTAAAACAAATTCATCTGGAAACTAATGAGGGGAGGTGTTAAAAGTAAGGAAAACTTCTGTCGTATTGATTATGTCTTAGTCTTAGATCGTTAAATGCTAATATTTTCAGCTTTCGAGTCTTAAAGTTAAAAAAAATTAAAGGTATTCCATGTAAGAAAACAAACAGATAAATGTAAAAAAAGGCTTGTTTTAAATAAAGTCAGGGAGCAAATGAATAAGCATACAATTAAAAAAAGGTACTTTTTATATTTAGGGTGGAAAAAACAAGCAAACTGAGATAATTTAGAGCGTACATTTAACCTTTAAGCGTAACTATTCTCATGTTAATTTTGTAAAAGTAAAACTGCGTTGAAATGATGTTAAAAAGTCACAAATTGATATAAAAAGTGAGTTATTTTTGACTCCCCTCTCTCATGATAAAGTGACAGCCTGCTTTAAATTTAACTTCTACAGATCTGTGTTTATCCTGTACAGATTTCCCTGCGAGTGCCAGAGCCAACGCCGTTCCCGCCCCCCCTCCTCCATCATCTTAATCACGGATCACGGCTTTAGCGCTGCCGTTCATCAGGTTGTTAGTCCCTCCGAAAGCTCTCAGACGTGGCTACAGGCCTCTTATCTTATCAGTCAAACAGCGGCAGGAAATGAGACACACAACAGTGATACTGCCAACAACGCTCATCTGTCAAGACACGCTGGCTCAATTACCATACTGTAGCACAAAGACTGGATTCGAAGCCTGGCGTTGAAGTGGATAAATTGAATTGCTGATGTATACATAAGCTAAGTCATTAGTCGCATTTATATAGGGAGAGAAGAAGAGGGGACTGAGGTGTTTTATTCGATGTTTCTGCACATTAGAGAGAGTGGGAAACTTCTCCAATCTGCATTTCTCCAATCATGGGTTTGTGTTTTTCTGATATATTGCTGTGCTTGTTTGCTTCCTCTGTCTGGAGGTGGGGGAAAAAGGAGACAGGAGGGGTGAGGAAATATATAAGAGAGAGACAGACAGAGGCAGAAACAGAATGGGAAAGAGATGCACTGTGAGAGAAACAAAGAAAGACAAACATCCAGAGAAAGAGAAGAGGGAGAGAGACACGCAGACAGAGAGAGAAATGAAGAGAGAGATAGGCAGGGATGTGTGTACTGCATCCCAAGGGATCACTTACTCAGTATAGACACAGTACTGGAGGACAGAGCACAGCAAGGGTTCATTGGCCAAAATCTCTCCTCTTTATATACACACACATACACACACACAACCCCTCCAAGCAATATTCCTGTAAGCACTCGTCCGCTGAGAATAACCGCATTGACTGAAGTGGAGTCAATGTAAGAGGACGATAGAAGAACGAGGGGAGGTGGAAAAAAAAATAAAACTGAGGGATCAGGAGGAAGCAGGAGGAGGAGGAGTGTCCACCTGGCCGGTGTCCAGGGGAATTAAACAGTCTGTTTACCGCTCTCAGCGCCTCAGCAGCGCCATGTTAGCCTAATGGCACGGACATGAAGCCAATTGATTTGTGGACCAATAGACCTGTCCCACAGCACAGGCAGATTACCTAGATCACTGGCTCTGCATCGAGTAGACATCGCTTCTCATTCGCACCCCACAGGCGGCTGAATGTGAACGGGGTTTAATGTGAGTGTGTGTGTGTGTGTGGGCATGTTTGCATATGTGTACACACTCCTGAGATGACAACAGTGCATCTAAACAGAGCGGTGGCTCAGGATACAGTTTGCAGCCCATGATGTGCAAATACAAACCGGGTTAGGTTACTAGTTTTGGTCATTTTAGGAAGTAATTGGAGGTTAAAAAGGAAATTTTCACTTCTTCCTGCCATTTAGAGTCAGCTGTTAGCTTATTATTTATTGTTACTGTGAAACAATGACCAACATCATGACAAAGACTCACCTCTCTGTCAGCTTGTTGTCAACATTTACAAGCTCATGGTATTTTACTCTCCTTTAGCAAACATCACTTTTGCTGCTTAGATGTTTAAAACTGACTTATTTAAACGTCAAACCTCTTTAAACCAAAAGTTAGAATTACAAAAACTGCCGTACTTCGTCGTGCATGTGCAGTCAGTTTGTCATTTAAAGCTCCAGTGAAGAACTTTCAGTTTGACTCAACTTTGGTGCCCCCGGTGGACAAAACAGTCTTAATTTATCCTGTCCTCTACTTTTAATGAAAAATCTCAGACTTAAGGTCCTTACACACCGGGAATGGTGCAAATGTTTGACGCGAAAGTACGAAATATTTGGAGGTGAATTTTGACGCGCCTGACTGTACACATCAAGCCTGATGCGATTTTGCGATTTTCCTGGGGGGAAAAAAGACGCGTCCCGGGTGGAAGTGAGAAGACTGACACAACAGCAGACTAAGTGTTTTTCAGTTCTGATTAGACTCTAGTGTTGAGATGTCTGTCTGTCATGATAGCATGGACTGAGTCGGGGCCAGTACCAGATAAACACATTAAACTATAATCCATAAACGTAAGGTAACAACCGAGACCTAATGGTGCTGTGACAGTGAAAATACATATGGTATGTTGTATCTGAACAGGTTAGCTTACGAGCTAAAGTTACTTAGCACAGATGAAAGTTAAAACAAAGACGTTTATCAAACTGTTAAAGAACACAAACCATCGTCATATGAGAAATCCGACGCTATGACTCTCCACAAGTTGTCCTTCAGGTCGTTATCTTTGTAATATTTGTGTTTTTCATCAAAAGTCGCTCTGTTCTCCGACACGTAAACAATCAGCCGGTCGGCCATGTTGGATATACTGGTGAATCTGACGTCGCAACAACATGAAATCTGATTGGTCAGACCGTGATACGAAAAAAAAAATGCCGCAATATCGCAGGACAGGAAAACGTCGCTGATGTGAACGCCTGTATTGACAGGAAACAGGTTCGGAAAAAAAAACTGACGTCCGAGATAATCGCACAAAAAAAAACGCTCCCGGTGTGAAAGGACCCTTACGGTTAAATGTACTGTTAGTATGAATTTCAGCCTGTTTCATTCATGTCAAAAAACTACCTGTAGGAGCTTTAATCATATCAATTCAAGCAAATTAGACTTGATTTAGTCGACAAATGTACTCAGAGGCAAATTTTGTTCTCTCTGTTTCAACAAACTTGATTTTCATAAGATATTTTAGCACATAATCCCCTCGACACGCAGATGCAGAATACACCAAGAGTTAAAAAAGTTATGTGTGGAGATTGGTGAGTAATATTTTCCCAGAAAGATGTGCTGACTGCTTGTGCGATGCCCGTCAGGAGCTTTACTGGTGCATATTGTTCCAAATTGAATGTTACACCAAATAAAAAACCTTGCTGCAGGACAATGAAAGACCACACACACTTGAATCTACAGTTGTTGGTGTGTACTGCCGAGAAGTGAGAATAATTCCACATTCTCCACAGTTTTCACTCATGTCAGTGTCCGAGTTGATAAGCATGAAAATCCATTTATCTACAAAGGAACTGTATGGTCCATATTGGACAATGTCTCTTTCATGGTCCCTTGCAGGCCCTTTTTCGTCCACAAAGCCACCCAACTGACTCCACCACGTTTGTAATAGGCCACATTCATTTGATATAGACACATCAAGGGAGATACTGCGCCGGTTTTCGCCGAGCATCAAGAGGAGTGGAGCTGGTCCGCTGAAGCAGTAGTGCGCTCTGAACATAAAAGAAACAATAGACGCGAGGCAGATGCAGTTGGACGGAAAATAAAAAATACAGTGGACCCCATGCAGGGCTGGACATGACCACCAAACGTGTCGGCATGGACGGGGGACCATATGGAGGCGCAGCGAGGCTCACTGTCATTATCATTCAGCTTTTCTGTCCTTCTCAGAGTTGACAGCATTGAGAGCGAGGGAGAGGACGTATATCCAGAATTAGGCCTCTGAGGAGGAAGAGGAGGAGGGGGATGAGGAGGAGGAGCCGTCAGATTACAGATTAGAAGGTGGGGAAGTGGTGGGATTAAACATGCAGTCTAGATGGTAGCCCGACTAATACAGCTCACAGCTCGGCTGAGGGCGTTGTCAAATTTAGTCCTGTGGATTATACTAAGCGTCAAACGGCAGTAAGGAGGGAAATGTCGAAAAGAAACACGACTCTCCTGGAGATTCGTATTGAAACTCCTTCTACGGTCGTCAATGTTATTCATTGCTCATCTAATCCATATTTGTGTAAATGAGCTGCGTGGAGCTTTACAACACAAGGCAGACACACAAAACCTGGGAGACATTGGTATTAACAATGATGCTACGTCTTTACCACCCTCTGGCTAATGCGGCTAATGAATGAGAAAGCGCTAGCGGGCTAACGGCTCTAATTCTCCTTCACAGGCTATCATGTTGCAGCCCGGAGACAGATCAATACCATTTGCTCAACACACAGGAGGCCTGGGAATCTATAAAAGGGCTTTTATTGAGTAATTAAACACCCATTACTGTCCCGTGCAGCCAAACAATAAATTTGATCAGCCTCTCAGGCACAGATCCAACCGTGATTAATACTCAGTGCATGCATGACATAAAAGACCACAATGACATTTTGTTAAGTCTTGTCGTAGACCCTTTGACGGTGCCGGGACGGGACGTCTGCCGCTTACAGCCGCACATTCAAGGTCGCTTTGTGACCCTAAGCGGTCGTGTACTACCAACCTTTTGTTGACCAAATCCAACCGCTTGTCTTTCAGTTAAATATACAGTATCATCAGCAAAGAGTGATATTTCAAGACTGTATTATGCTAAAGGCTGGCAGTACAATATACCTACAAGTTAAAGCTCCTGTGTGGAGTTTTGGCTCGTTACAACAGAGACTAATATCGATGCTGATGTTTCTTTATGACCTTTAAAAGCAAATAAACCAATAATATCATTCTTAAATATAGATTTTTGATGTCTGAAACCTCTGGTTGAGGGTAGGTGTCAATGTGCAACCAGGTAACACCAAAATCAAAATATATTACAACTTATCATGGTGTTAATGTAGGCCTGAACACACACTGGGAGCTCCTGAAGCTAATTTGGAGCTACACCCCACAATGAACAACTTGATTGAACTTCTAGCTCAGTTTATTTAATGCCCGGGATGGGAATCAAAAACCAGTTTCAGAACAAAACCAGGTCCAACTAGTTTACCAGTTTAGTAGTGTACCTACTAATGCACTTAGGTTTTGTTCACACTGCAGGTCAATTCCGATTTTTTAACCATTTGTGACACATATCTGATTTTTTCATGTAAGTGTGAACTTTGCAATTCTGATTTTTTCTAATCCGACCCAGGCCTCTTTTGTAAGCGAATATAAATCGGATGTGTATCTGTGGACGCTCAGGTCACGTTCATCTCACCTATACGTCATCAATATGCAACAAACGTCAACATTGTTTGACAATGTCACGTCCTGCTTTGTGCGCATCCGGGTGACTTCACGGACACATTCCGTTCACATTAGATGCAGCATTCGTTGTTGTCATGTAAACGACCGCACAAAAAGATCGGATTTAACAAAAAATCTGAATTGTGCGTCTTAACCGACAGTGTGAACGTAGCCTCAGTTTGCACGTGCCTTGTAAATGGGGGGCGTTCAATCAAGGAAGTTATCAATATTATGTTTACAATAACAGCTCTTTAAATAGAGCAGTATGACGTATCGACCTACTCTAAAATCCACTCGCTTTGTGAGTCCGACATCTTTCCACTTGTAAATGTCGTCTGTTTCTGGGCAATCAAGGGTCTTTTCTATCGTCAAGAGAAAATCACCGTACCTTCTCTGTCCACAATCAATCCCCAGAGAGATTCCTGTTGTTAGCCAACTTTGCTAATGAACGGCTGCTATCTTTGCTATATGCCCTGTTGACCAATTAGAGGCTGTATTTACAATCAGCTGACTATTAAAGGCCCAATCAGAAGCCAGGTTTTTTTCGAGCAGCGAAGGTGAACTGTAAAGTGTGGAGCATATTGTGATGTTAAGGAGTTTAAAGCTTTAAAACCTGTTTGAAATGGCCTTTTGAATTGCATGACGAGAAAAAGGAAATGGATTATTTTGGCAAATATTTCCACTCTTGCAGGAGTAATAAAATGTTTAAGCAAACTTTAGAGATAATCATTTTGGAGAGGTGCTGCCCTAAGCTGTTTATTCCTTTCAGACAGACTGAAGGCTTGACTGCTTTTTTCCAATTTCCCAACGTCCTTTTTTTTTCCTCCCTGCTCTCGCACAATTCAAAAACCTGTTACAATCCCATCCTTGTTGGAGAATATTTAGCGTTGTTGAGCCAACAATATGGCATCTGGGTGATTCTCCTAAATATGAATGGCCCATTCACGGGGCTCAATGGAGTCGCTTGGCAATGGCCCTTCTTCCCCTCCCTCCTCCATACTCAAAACAATATTCAGCGCAGCAGTCTTGGCACTATTCCCCGAAATCAACAAAAGAGGAACTCGAAGCCGTCCCTGAAACCCTCAAAGCATTAAGCCTCTGTGAGATGCAAGTACTTGGCACAAGCAAAGCGATTTAACGACAATGGGCAAATCATACAGTGCTTTGTGAGATTTAGGGGATACAATAGCACTCCGTTTCCAAAGCACACATTAGTAAGCATGTCATCGGGACCCCCTGGGGGATTTGAGCAGCCTAGAGGATTGTGTAGTGAAGAGGATAAATATATGTTACTGGGCAAGAAGATGGAGCCCTGCCAATGCCTCATACTGTGGATTATGAGTGTGTGGAATACATTAATAGATTAATCTTCTGAACACACAAACTAACCCGCAAACTGAACCCATTTGGCTTGTTAAGCGTATACATTGCAACACATCCAAAATCAATTTACAACCATTTAACAGAGCTCAAGAGGTGCAGATGAGGAGAAATCTCGCCTCAAAAAAAAAAAAAAAAAAAACTCCTGCAATAAAAATAAAACACACACACAGAGAAAAAAAAAAAAACACTTGTTATAAATGTGCGGCGCTTGCAGCCATGCTGACCTCTGAGTGCTAAACAAAACCAACAACGGACAAGCAGACACCCACTCAAAAGTCAATACCATGCGTGCCTCCTCTTCCTCTTGTATGGTTAATGCATGATGCCAGGTAGGGGAGACAGACGGAGAGTAGGATCTCATTATACGCTGCATGCTATCATTAGCTATCTACCACATGTGTCCATCCTGCCAACTGAGTTGTACAGGCAGCACCCTAATGCTCCCGCCTGCTTCCAGTGGGGGGGAAACTTGGCCCACAAACACAGGCGCGCACACACACACACAACACAAACTCACACACACACAAAACACAGCACAAACATGCATGTAAATAATCACAGGTAGGCAAACAAACACCTGCCATTCCCAGCAGGGCCTGTTACAGGAAACGGACAGATTTGAGGTCGTAATTTAAGCAAAAATACAAAATATACTCGGCTTCCAGCTTTTTTCAAACATGACTTTTCCGGCTTTCGTTTGTTTTGAGTGATAATGACCTAAAAATTTTGAGTATCGGGTGCTTTGACTGACAGCACAACCTCGACTCTGACTCCAGAAAATTTGAATTTATGGAGGTTCATCAATATTAGAATTTAATCCTTTTTTATTTTCGACAAAATCAGGGTGTGATCACACGGAGACAGGATTTACACTGAGACACAAATGGTAATAAACACGGTTTAACGATGATCACAATTACATTTCTAATATCTAAAATCAGGCGTAAATCTTTAGACATTTTAGTTTGTTAGTTTTTCCAACTTGTTGAAAAACTTTAATAAAATAAAACAGCACAGAATTTTTAATTCTGCTTAGTAATTTTCCTCTCTCTTCGAAAATCGAACTAGTTGCTTTTTGACTTGAAATTGGTGTTTTTCAACAAACAAACCTGTTATATCAGAGTTAAAAGGCTTGAAGTGTAAAAGTTAATGATACTATCTTTGTATTTCACTCACAACACTCGGCATTTACTCCAAACAGACAGGACGATGCCTCACCCACAGGTCCCTGACCAAAACCTGTCCTAAAGTGACGATTTTCTCTTCTCCAAACCTCACTCCACTTTATTTACCTCAAACAGAAAACCCAACTTTTTCTGATGTAACCAACATATTTACATTTAATTCTGTTCTAACTCAATGTTTCTTTGTGTAACTTGTCTAATAATTGATATTTGGAACCAATTTGTGTTGACAACAAAACGACAATCTTTCCGTCAAAATTCAAGAATTTGCAAAACAAAAACTCCAACAAAAGACGTCATTTAAACGCCTTTACCGAATAACATTTGCTACCAGTCTTTAGTGTTGGTTGGCTACTTTTCATTTGACGTCACGACAATCAGCGTGTTGTGGGCGGGACAAACCAAGACAGAAAAAGACACACCACAACAAAGCCAAAGAGGCGCAATGCTAATAAACTACTTCGACTGGTGATTGGTAAGGAAAGAGAAAGTAGGATAATTAGCCTGGTTGATAATCAGCTGACTCCTCTATCACTCAGTTATTATGCATTACTTTAACTTGATACTGCATTGATTTAGACGTGTTGATCCTTTCCGTGCAGATTTTGCAAACAGGTCCTGCTCATGATCAGTCTTGGTGTACCTGAAATGCTCCCACACGGCCAGCTTCACTCATTTCTTTCAGTGCATACAAAAGTTCACTGCTTGGTCCCTCCATGGTGTCTCTTAATTAACTTGGTGCATTTTGCCGGAGCACCACAGGTGTCATTCTGTTTCTATTCTGTGCAGGTTGCACAAACATAATGCATGATATTTTTAGATCGATTATTTACAAAATTAAATCCCTTTTCCCCTCTTTTTTGTTTTGTAGGTATTATGACATGCACATATTATGCTGATCTTGATGCACTCTTTTAAAACAAAAGGCTAAAGTTGAAAGATAAAAAATCCAAAGCACAAAAATCTCCCAATTTTTTTTTATAATTCTATTTTTATCGAGAAAAACTGATCAAATCTGCTCCTCTGTGATTTATCATAAAACCTTGAATTTCTGTGAGTTTTGCAGCCTTTAAAAATTAAGAATGGCACTAATTGACCCTTGCAGCTCTCAAATACATGCAGCAGCAGTTATGGCAACGTAACGGCAGCAGTTGCTTTTGCCTCTGCTCCCAGTTTGTGCCCATCTCCCAGAGGCCACAGGCAGCTCAGTGATGCTGTGCCACACGCCCAGCCACTCAACATCCTTTGTGTCCATTCCCTGGCAGCTTGCCAAGCTCAGGCGCGCGCACACACACACACACACACACACACACACACTGATTCTCCCTCACACCCAACGAGGCATTGTTCATTAACGTGCACGCACACCTTTGCCGCCTTGCAGACAAAAGTGTTTCGACTTACTTGCTCTTCGCTAATCAAGACGTTCAAACTGAGCCGCAGACGTGCGTGTGTGAGGAGGGGGGAGGTGGGGATGGAGAGGGTGAGGTAGTGATGGTGGTGGGGGCAGCAGACGGCCACTATCTATCTGAGGCTCACTGTTAACAAAATCAGATCATCCAGCCAGAGCCCGAAAGAGAAGAGCAGCGGCGAGAGATTACAGTCAGATCCTTCCTCTCTCCTCGCTGTCGTTTTCTTCGGCCCTTGTGGGGGGAAGAAAAAAAAAAGGCTCTCGGCGGCGGCGGCGTCCTCCATCGTCGGGCCAAATGGCTGGCGAGCTTCCCCGCATATCAATGCACAATTTAACTTAAGACTTCCATGGCAATAACCTAATTAGAAGCGGCGCCTTCTCATTTCGAAGACACAATGTAAAGGATAAGCTTCACGCCGCCATGTCTATCAAGGTCTAATGGCGCTGAATATTCCAAAGAGGAAGTTCGGTTCTCTTTTTTTTTTTTAATAAGTCCTTAGCATATTTAACACTTCCCCACGCTGAATGTTTTAATATCTGTGAGAGAATCCGGGCCATGGGTGGTGCAGATTGCTAGTAAAGAGTAAAGCGAGGTGAACGGGGGTCTGCTTAAAATTCAGAGAAGGGGGCAGCGGATTGCAAAAGAAGGTAGGAGGGAGAGAGAGGAAAAATCTACAGCTTTGATTTGATTAAAACCTATGAAAATGGTGCATTACATAAAGCAAGGAAACTTCAAACATTTGGGGGGATTCAGAGTTCAAAGAAAGTGAGATAATGCTTTTAGCGCCGGAATTAACATGGAAATGGTTTTGGTGGATTTTCTACTCGAGGACGGGAAATTCAGGGAGAAAAAGTCTAGAAATTTGACACTGATCTTGGATCAGTTTGGGCTGAAAAAGGACCTGAAGTGTTACTCAGACCTGAACTGTTTTAATCAAGCGAACAAGTTCCAAACTTAGAGGTGTTATTTCTATCGCAGTACAAGCACTTCAAAAGCTGCCAAATATGCTGAGTTGTGATGATGCGCTTGTGCTAATGCACCAAAATATGCACTTGTGTTTTTGGTTGCACACATATAGCCGTTCAGGATTCAAATAGAGAGTCACATGTGTGAGATTATGAGCACAAACAGGCACATACAAGCACAAAATCATAGGCTTGAATGTCAAATTGCAACAATGCACCAATGCTTCCGATTGTAACAATGCACTTGTCACAATGCACTGAAATATGCACTTACTTTGTTGTTTGAGAAAGAGAGAAAGTCATGTAAGATTTCACAGAAGTTTTATATCTAAAATGGGATCGGTGCAATCAGGGTGCAAAATAAAGAGTAAATTGTTGTGTCGTGACAATGTGCCTGAACTTATGCACCAAAATACACAACTGATTTTTGTGTGGATGCGGATAGCCATATATGATTATACTAGAATGTTACATTAAATGCAGCATGGACACACACTCATAAAAAGGCTGCCTAAACTGTTATGTTGTGACACTGCACCTGAATTTATGCACCATTATATGCACTTTTCTACTGTCTGCGTAGGTGCATACCCCCATAGATGTTTTTAGATGGGTGTTAAATCAAATGCATCATTTGACAACACACTAACGCAAGTGCAAAAAAGGCTGCCCAAACTGCCGTCTTTGACAATGCACCTGAACTTACGCACCATAATATGCACTTGTTTTGTGTTTTGCGAGGCTGCATTTAGCCATTTATAATTCAAATGGAGTGTTACAGAAAATGCAGCATGGGCACACACTTGTAAGCGCAAAAAAGCTGCTTGGACTTCTTAAATGCGCCTAAACATGCACTTATTCTGCTGTCTAATAAGCGCATTTTGACATATGCGAGTAAAGGAAGCATAATTATAATGACGGTACTCTCAATTAAAAGTGCAAAAAAAACATTTACAAAGTGGTAAATGCACACACAGGTGCATCGACAGGGCGCACGCATTGAACATTCTACTAAGTAGTTAATTCACTAGTTAGAAACATTTCCACAAAGGTCAATCTTTAAAGGGATACATAAGAGCGCAATATTGGTTCTTGCGCCTCAGGTTGCACCAGGGTTGAAGAGGTAAGCTGCAGGTATTACTCCAACCCTGAGTCAGCTGTGCGTGGATACCCCTCGTCTTTAAGTACACCCATCAGATTCTGACTGGATAATCACCAGTCAGCACTGGGAGTGAGGTGTGAGGGCACGGTGGATATAATTTGTGATGCGCGAGTGCGTGTGTGTGTGAGTGTGTGTGTGAGTGGGTGGGGGGGGTACATCAACCAGTGACTGTCAGTCATAGTCACGCTGATCCCCCCCGCCCCCCAGCCAAAACACCCCCACAGGAGGGGAGAGGAAGAAGAGGATTGAGTGGATCATGGTGTCAAGGATTTTAGGGGACTGGCATCCACTCATCCACCAAGAGAGACATGTTTTGGGCAGTGGTGCTCCCGACAGCTGCCCGCCGTCTCTGGGAGAGGAACTTAGATCAGCGAGGAGGGGCTGTCAGCGAGCATGCAGGGAAACACACAAAGACTTACACAGTCGTGCTAGCTGACACACAGCCCCAGCTCTGTCTTCTGGGACGAAGATGGAGAGAGAGAAAAAGAGAAAGAGAGTGGAAGAGAGAGAGAGAGAGAGGAGGGGAGTAAGTGGACAAAGAGTGAAATAGATGAGAGCAAGGAGACAAGACAGGCTGACGCACTGTCGAGCAAACGTGGAGAAAAGAGAGAGAAGGAGGGGGGGAGAGAGATGAGAAGACAGAGAGAGATGGAGAGAGTGAAACAGACAGACAGGTCCGAGAGGGATTTGTTCTATTTGCATGCGCCGGGCTCCCATGGGGTCCAGCTCCGCTCGGCGAGCCGAGAGCACAAAAGATAACACTTAACATATTTGCTAAAAGATGACAACCCTGGCTGGATCTCGTTTGAAGAGGCCCTTTGTCAGGACGTGCAGACAGGAGAAATCCACTGATATGGATGCAGCCGAGATGAACAAATGTCTCTCTCTCTATCTGTCTGTGCGTGTGCGTCTAAAAAGGCACAATTCTTCCCCACATCGTCTTACATCTGGCAGAAGTCCCACGGGGGGGCGGCTGGATCGCACGCCGGTGGCTCTGGGACGGTAAAACAGCTTTTAATGGTAAACATTACAGACTGATAGAAAGTGTCAGGATAATTTATTTATACTGTCCCACTGGGAGTCGCTAAGCCACCCTCGCCGCGCACCAGCTCTCTCTATTCATTTGAGGGAGAAGTCCGTATTTAGATAAATAAAGGCAGTGTAAAGGGGAGCCTGTTTGTAAAGCACTTTTTCTTCTATTCCTATTATCTCTCCTCTCTCTGTCCCTATTAGCTGTATCGGGGGGCTGCCGGGGATGTGAGGCAATATGTTATGTGTATAATGAGGGGGATTATTGCTACTGTCACTGCAACACGCACGCACAGACGATGCACAGGGACGGATCTTAAGCCAAGGACTGTAGCAAACAAATACACTTAGCGGAATAAACAGACTGCTGAGTATCTACATTATTTACATTACACACAAAACCGACACTTGCACGGTGCGCCTGGGTTTCCTCCACTCTTGCAAACACACACACAAATTCACAAACTCGCACCCTATCAGACCCCTAATATCAAGGAGGTTCCCTTCAAAAGCAAAAGGAGTTCTGTACTGTCTTTCAACGTACGAATAAAAGTGACGTTTTTTTTTACAAATTTGAAAAAAAAGTTGCAAAAATTTTAACAGTGACAATGCACTTACATGCATGCACCGAAATGTTCGCTTAATGTGTTGTCCGCTAAAGTTCAAACAGCCATATGAGAGTACAAAGACGATGACAGTGATTGCACACACACACACACACACGCACGCACGCAAACACAGGTGCAAAAAAATTCAGAAAAAGGTGCAATGTCACAATGCACTTGTACATATGCACTGAAACATGCTCTTACTCTGTTGTTTATATAACGGTTTGGAGCCATATACGATTTAATTGAAGTGTCCTATTGATGGGCACACATTTGTAAACACAAGAGCAAAGAAAACACTGTCTTAAGTGTTATATTGTGACGATGCACTTGAAAACACGCACCAAAATGTGCACACACTTTGTTGTTTACTGAAGTGTTTAGAGCCATGTATAATTGAATACAAGTGTTATGTATGTGACAGTGTGGGTACACACTTGTAAACACAATAGCAAAAAAATATGCTGCCTTGAATGTTATACTTTGACGATGCACTTGAAAATATGCACCAAAATATGCACTTAGTTTGTTGTATGACTGAAAGAAAAGTGTAACAGAGTATGAAAAGAAGCAGTCTTTCAGGCACACACTAGCAAATAAAAGCACAAAAAAACTACCAATTTTGTTTGATTGTGACGTTGCACTCGCACATCTGCGCCAAAATATGCACTAATTTCGTTAATGACTACAGGAATAGAATAATAGGAGTCTAAAAAGAAGCACTATTTTAATTACGCAAAACACTTGCAAATACAAGCGCTAAAAAAGCTACCTATTTTGATTTACTGTGACAATGCACCAGCAGATTTGCACCAAAAAATGCACTTATTTTGTTATTGACTAAAGTGTTTCGTACAAATAAAAGCAAGTGCAATTTCTATGGCAGTGTGGGCACACACTCAAATAAAAGTGCAAAAACAGGTTTTGCAAAGTGGTAAATGCACCTGCCAACTGAGTAAAACACACACATGCGCAACAACAAAAAAAAGGGAAAACAGCACGACGTGAAGTAAATAATTGTGTGTGTGTGTGTGTGTGTAAGAGAGAGAGAGAGAGAGCGCAAAGAAACGTTTACAAGGTGGTATATACACCGGCCGCATGGGTAAAACACACACAGGCGCATTGACAGGATAAAAGAGGAAACAGCACATGACACGGTGCAAATAACTCTGTGTGTGTGTGTGTGTGTGTGAGAGAGAGAGAGAGAGTGAGGGAGAGGGAGAGGGAGAGCGAGGGAGATCAAAGGTGAAAGGTTGAGTCCCTACTAATAACTGCAACAAAAACAAAGAATTGCGGAAGTGTGTCGCAAACACCGAAAAGCGCATAGTGGTGTTTTAATATTTCTTTCCTAAAATGTGAAAATTCATTAGAAATGCACCCACTTGCTTTGCCTGTCGGTCTCACTACCAACAGGGTGGGATGGATGTTTTCAATTCCAACAATCCACCATTGTTCTGCGTGGATGTTGCTTCCTGCAGCGGTGGACGCTCGCTGCCCCCATAGATCAGCTTTTTCTTAATATCACGAATTTGAACGTGCATATTTTGAAGCTATTTTGGAAGAAAGTTGTGGCCTCAGTCTGTCATGTTTGCTGATTATTCCTGCCATGAATGAGCATGTTTCATTCAGAAGATTTGAATAATTGCCACATCATTCAGATTTATGTAAGATAACTTAAAGTATGCCATAAAAAAAAAAATCCTGATTTAAAAGATGCATCCTGAATTTGCAAAAACAGGCCTTGCTAAAAGACTCCAACTAAGTGAATTTCTGCCTTTTTTATTGTCAAATCCAGAGAAAATTCTGCACACACTTAGGAAGATTTTTCTGGAAAAGTGATAATTATAAATTCAAAATAAGGCATGACCAAGATGGTGTAAAAGTCAAATTTGAAAGGAAACAAACCATCCATTAGATCAGAAATTAAAGGTTTAAATCCAAGATTAGATTAGGAAAGATGTCTCACACACTCACTCAAATTACAATCATAAAATTTCCTTGTTTTGCAGAGAGACACCTCACCTCCACCTGCGACTGAATCCCTCATTTTTTCCACAGAAAGCATAAGTTGATGAAATTTCAGACTCACCATACACGCTGCTGCTGCTGCTGATCATCTCGTGCTGGAACAGAGGAGGAGGAAGAGGGAGAGGAAGAGGAGATGAGAGCATTGGGATTAATTTGTGGAGAGAAAAAGAGCAAAAAGAAAAAACGGAAGGATCTCCCCCCAAAAAAAGAGGAGGAAAGGCTTTTACATTACACACACACTTTTTTTTTTTTGCGCTTGGTCTAGCTCGGATTACAAGCCATGTGCAAAGTGGGTGAAGAGCAACTGAATAAGAGAGACATCTAACCTACATGCATGTCATTAGAAAGTGGATGACAGGCGGAAAAGAGAGAGAGAGAGAGAAAGAGAGAGAGAGAGGAGAGGGAGGGAGAGAAATCAACTGGTGCAGCTCGGATTGTTTGGGAAATGACGCCCGGAGTCAAGTTAAATCTGTTGCGAACGCCTGAAAACGTCCAAGCTTGTAAAAAATACATGCTGCGGTGACATTGTATCCGCTCTCTGCACGCATGCACACGGCAACTTGTTGTAACAGAAGCCGCAGGAGCCCGATGCAGACTGGAGAGGCGTCCTCATGCAAGCAAGTTGTGTTTTTCTCTCTTTATAGCGAAGTGCCGCACAGCCGAGACATGAAACAGGCAGCTTATAGTGCAAGCCAAGCCTGTGCGGTTAAACCGTGGCGCAGGTGCGCTACTTCCAAAAATCACATGTTTGGGTGGAAAAATGCACCGCTAATTCACGCGCGGGTATCGTTCGCAATTCGGGGGAACTTGTTAAATCGCGAAGTGCACGTGTATTATTCCGAGATAAACAGCGCGCACGAGCTGCTCTCGCTCTCTGCACAGACGCGCCGTCTGCTCTGACCACTCTGTGTAATTGCACACGCAGCAGCAGCAGAGGCAGCAGACGACCCTTTCTTACCTGCTTTTTTAGCGACAGGTCGACCTCTCACGTGTGGGGGGTTAGGGTCGCATCGATCCCGGGAAGGGGTGCTGCTGATGAACGGGGTGCCGAGGTTAAGCCGGGTTGCGTGCGAGCTGAAACCATCCCAAGTTAGCGCAGGAAACACTGACCACAGCCACTGCCATGTTGGAATTTCACCAGCCCTGAACAGCTGCTTCTCACACTGACCAGTACGCTCCCCACTGCGCATGCGCCTTAAGGAGGGGGGGTGGAAAAAAAAAATCCTCAATTCCAATTATTGCCCATAAGGTTATTATGGGCGTATAGTTTGTGTGGCGAGGTTGGCACAGTGAGACAAAATGGAAAGAGAGCAAACACCTTCTGCTCGAACTTAAAGCCATTTCACACTCATTTTAACCATCTTTAACAGGTGAAGTCTGACATCCAGCAACATACAAAAGCTCATAATGAGTTAATATCAATATTTATAAGTAATTGAGACCTTTCTATCCACTTACAAGTCAAACTTTCTGCTTGAGATGAACACTAATTTAGCAGAATAACTCAGGTAAACAGTGGGGAAAGTCTCCTCTCACCTCAGCTTCGAGTAAAAAACACATTAGGGAACCCCATGAAGCCCCACAGCCACCCCCAGAGTGTACCCTGAAATCTCACAGCAAACGCACCAGCAGTGTCCGCCTATCTCCCAGTGATAATTATAGCAGCAATATGGAATTAGCAATTGAAGCCCTAATTAGAGCGAAAATGTCCCAGTTAGCGAGTTATCAAAGCATCAGCGGGGGGAGAGCATTTAAACAAGACATCAAAGATGGAGGAAGTGTCAGTTCATTGTTCCCAAATCACCCCCGCACAAGTTGTTAGAGCGAAATATACCCCCTGAAAAAAATTCAAGCGGGTACATCAAAGGCTGCGGCGGGTAAACAAAAAGTGTGGCGGGAATGCGCGCACATCTCGAGGGTCAACCCGTACCCCTCGCGTGCGCGCGTAGAGAGTCAAACACGGCGCCCTTGAGTTGAAAGGTGCGTTCGGAGCGACGCCTCCCTCTTCCTTCCTTTTTATTAATTATTTCTAACAGTTATTGAACCAACTAATAGTGAGATTCTATCAAGTATTTGCCGCCGTAATTAAAATGGATCGAATCTCACTGCGTCGCTCCTGTTTTGTTGTGCGACGCTTAATTATTAGTTAGTAATTGTGAGAAAAAGGCCTCAAATAGGCGCCTTTAATGTTTAAGTGAGGAAAAGAGAGGCTTTGTAGTGCGTTATAGCGTATGTAGATGCATTAGCACACATGCTCTTCTCCATCTGATTTACATACCGGAGGCAAAGGTATAATTCAAGTGTGTTGAATATGCAGTGTTGCTATAAAAGGATACCCGCGCTTATGTGGAAGATATCATGCGGAGACACAGGGTTTAATTTTTACAACATATTTCCTGATTTGTGACGGACGCACGCTGCATTTGTAAGCGTGTGTGTGTGTGTGTGTGTGTGCGGAGATTTAACGGCAACATAAATCTAAATAGATTTTAACTCATTAGCCATTGGAGAGGTAATGATGTAAGTCTGCCACTAATGAGCTTAAGCTCTTAATTGAATAGGAGGGGGGTAGAGCAATACACACAACACACACACACGCACATAAACACAGCATGGACGCCCACACAACCTAAAGAGCACAAAAGGATGTACACACAAAGACACATCCACACACACAACTACAAATACAATCCCGCCTCCTGTGTTGGTATGGGGTGTTTTTTTTCCTCCTTTCTCTCTCCGGGGTCATGAGGAAGAGGGGGGAGTCATAGTCACATGACCAGCTAAATTTCAACTCCAGTGCCTGCGGACTTCAGTGTCGGCCCTCATCACTTCACCACTGCACTTTTTGTGCTTTTTTTCCCCCTCCATAACACACTGGAAAAAATAGAGAAAAAAGAGGACAAACAAGCGGGATATGATCAAATCTAAATGAGGTACAAGGCGAAAACAAAAGCTCCCAATCAAAGCAAACCCACTGGATGTCACACTAATCAAACCTCGACTCCAAGTGTTCCATATTCACAGTATAAGAGGAAAACATGCAACAAAACGAGGCTGCTTTGATGCCACCTCTTCTAGACACATTTCATATTTTTATTCATCTCAACCAAATAATTATCAGCACTTAACCTGCCATGTCTGCGGCGACGCAAAAACGTCAGAATCAATTTGGATGAAGAAGAAAGCTTATAGGATAAAATGTCCACTCTTTATAAACTGCACAATACATTTAGAGGAGAACGTTCCCCTGGTAATACAGGCTATGAAAATGATGATATCCAATTTCTTAGAGTCTTCTATCAAATATACTGTGATATAAACAAAGCCCCAGTGAATGGGGGACAATCTCAAAGCAGGAAATCCAGAGGGAGAAAAAAAGGAGAGATTAGAGCAGGCGAGACAGTGTTTCCAGTCGCTCAGATAAAGAAGAGCAGGGGAGAAAAAAGAAGAGGGGATGAGTCGTCTTTGCTCAGAGGCGAGTGTGTGTGGCCAATCCACTTTTATGAGCCCAGACTAACGCCCTGATGGGACACGGCGTGGATTTGAGCAGAGCCTATTGAGCATAAGCTGCTAAATTTGGCAATAAAGGGAATGTGATTTACTGTAAGCTCCAGTGGGCAGAGAGCGACGCAGCAGCCGGGGCGCGTACACACACACACACACACACACACACACCTGAGAGCATGAAAACACACACCAACAATAACTCACTCACTCTGTTACTGTCTCCTGCTCTCTCCCTCATTCTCCCTGACACACACACACACACACTCACACACACACACACACACACACTGCGACGCCCGGCCGGCTTGCCTCTGAGCCCCGCACACTCGCGCAGCCACTCATGCGGCTCAGCGGCAGTGACTTTGACAAATAACCAGGAAGTCCTGGTGTTGGCTTAAAAACTCCAACTTGTTCAGTTGCAATTCTGCATTTGTCCTGCTTTAATGGCTGTGGAAGTGGCTTTGGAGGTAATCTGTCAGTGATTGATTAGAGGCCGGCCAAATCCCCCCTTCGCTGAACGCATTGGTAGGCTGCAGGCCCGCCTGCTTCTGCTGCTGCTGCTGCTGCTGCTCCTCTGTGAGACAGAGAGAGACACAGCCAGGAAAAGACAGCAAGATGAGAAACATGGTCGTCGCTTGTGCGAGCGCATGTTTGTATCTACATCAACGCAGCCACAGTTCAAATGGCAAAGTTCACCTCTGCATGAAAAAATCAATACTCCTCCCTTTGAGTTTACACGTTTCCCTCCGACCTTGTTAAAATGAACTGGAGTGTTGAGCTTGTGTTGCAAAAATGACTATAAAGCTTTGCTGCAACAACATAAAAGGAACATTTTTTTACAATGAAACAAACATTTGTATTCAAAAATATTGACACGCTTATGTCCAGGGTCACTAAAACCCTTATAGAAGTCGACACTGAGACTTTAAAACTGAAGAAAAGCACCAGTCTTTTAAAAACCCAACCAGTTAAAAATCATATTTCAAAGAAGTTTGGGCAAATTAGTCAAAGAAAAAAGCTGATAGTGCAACACAAATATATGTTTTGCACCTCGTTATAGTATTCCAATATAACACTGTGATCCACTAAAACCACATCATCCAAAAACAGGCAAACAAAACATTTAAAGGAATGAAAGTTTAAGTTTAAAATAGATTTTTTGTCAAATTTGGATGTTGTTGACATTTAAAACTACATCAAATATCAATAACACAAGTTAGCAACATTTTATCACTATTTTTGGAGAGACAGAGTTAACTTCAATGATGATTTCAAACCTCTTTAATACTCCCCAAACACACATGAATTCATCCTTTAACTATTTAAATCAGGTGTCAAGATCGACACATTAGTCAGTAAACAACATGCTAATTTGTCTTTAATTGCTAATGACCTTTAGGCTTTTGAAGGCACATTTCACTCTAAACGAACAGACTGCTCAGAAAACAAGTCAAAAGTGTCAAACACATTTTAGAATCATTTAAGTGCCTCGATGTTCGACCACCTGTAAGCTAAGCATACAGACGCAGCTAATCAGACTGATGTCAGTGAAGTAACAGTCGTGACCCGGTATGAAACAGAGAAGAGCTGACCTGGAACTAAAAGGGGACATGGTGCTGCATTAACCGGGGATCCCTGGACATCTTTTAGTAGTTAAAATGAACACCTGCAAGTTCTGTATTTTATAGGAGAAGCAGTTTGAAGCTGTATTCTACGTGTGAGTAATGCCAGAAGACAGGCAGCATTTATTTGAATAGTAAATATAAAAGTCAAGATCATAAAGTATATGTAAATACTGTTTTCCTCGTTTAAATGGACTTAAAAACTGCAATGGAATGCAAAATAAAAGAATTATAAGCAACCCATGTGCGATTAATTGCGATTAAGATGCGATTAATCGTGATTCATTATTGTAATATTGGAGTAATTGTGATTTTGAAAAAATAATGTATCAGAGCCCTGATTTAAATATTTAATTTTTATAAAATCAATGTTTAAAATTTCGAATCTGAATGTCTGGTTTAAAAAAAAATACCTTACAGCTGTATAAAGCAAATAAAAAAGCTTAATTGGAAAGTTTTGAGCGTTCATCAGACTGTGATTGTTCAGAGCTGCGTCTATCTGCATACAGAGATTTAACCAATTCTTATACTTCTAACGCTGTGTATAATCTCCCCTTCTTATAAAGACACTGCCAATTATGTCATCTTTTATATTCGGGTTGATGAATTCATTTTAATTCTGCGTACAGAGGTTGTAGTGTTGTTTATGAATTTAGTCTGTTGATAAGTAATCAGGCATTTAATGTTAGGTGGACACTCATGTGTTTTATTAGTACTCGGACTGATCGTGTACTGGCTGCTTTACAGTATTCAGACCGGGCTTTAATATTACAGTCCTTTTCTAATCAGTTAGAGCCCATTTACACAGCAAAACTCATTCAATTCTATTTTTTTCTTTTATAATCAGGGTCCTTTTTGCCCAACATGTAGAGGCTCTGACCATGAAAATGTTTAGCATGAATCTTAATATCACTTAAGTGATAATTATTCTGCTCGCCACAAACCTGACTAGCAAAATGGAATTCAATCAGAGCCGGCGCATAATGACAGTCATTATGAAAATAATGAATAAAAAAGTAATAATGACATCCCTGTCT